GGATGACAACTGCGAGCAGTGGGAAAAGCTTGGCGAGGCAGAGCAGTTGATCGTTTTTCCTCAGCCTGTGCGTGAACAAGAGGCTACCTTACAGGTGGGGATTGCCATTAATTTCTGTGGGTGCCGCGCAGCCATGTTTCAGCATCCTGCTTCCATATCTCGGAGTCTTGATAAATATACATTGATGAGCTACTTCATTACATTGGATGTTCTTTTCGCCTTGTTTTGTTTCTACCTCAACATTTTGTAGGGCAGGTTTGACATACTGGATGTTTCCATGCTTACAAGGGAAGATGACATCAAGGCCCCGCATCGATTACCCAAGGGGTCTGTTGAAGATTTCCCAGCTTCAATAAGCTCCATCTTAAGTTCATTTGTAGACAGGGGTTTGATATAGAGGAGTCTTCACATTTCTAAACTAAACGCTTCATTGTGCAAGGTGTTGTACCAGGTAACGTCTTTGGCTGTGAATATGCGTTGCAGCTGTAAATGCAAGTGCTCCTAGCTGAAATAGCGGAAGTGCCGCTCGGTGTAAGATTGAAGCAAGCATACTGGCGTAGAACCTTGGTGGGTTGCTTCGATTTACGAATACTGTGGTCTTCTTAGCACTCACCACTTCATAGGTGAGCCGCTGTGAATTGTCTCACGTAGGTCGCAAATTGGATGAAAAGGCAACGTCGTGTGATTTTTGAACTCACCCTTCAGGCATAACTTTCCTGCATGAAAACCCTCTGCACCTAGGTACAAGCGATCAGCGAATTTGACTGCAAATACAAAAGGTATACATGCAGCAGCCCTCGACGTCCAAGCCTGAGTTTTGGCAAACTAGATGAGCTTGGAGAAATTATGGTTCTGACACTAGCGGTACTGATAGTGTTGATTCAGACGACGCCGGCAGCCTTGCGTGAACCTCAAAGCCAATCGAAATTTAGTGACGGGGAATGTTGAATCCTGCATAGCTGTCTACACCACATTTGCTGGGTTTGAACACTCGAAAGAGTCTACAAAGGATCAAACCATAGCAGTATCTCTATAGATATAAATAGAGAAATGCGAGGATTTGAAAACAATGCGCACAAAGGATAATTCATGGCTGTGCTCCGTTTTGATGCTGAAAACATCAATTAAAGCTAATGCTTTTGCATATTCGAACCTGCTGTATGCAAGCAGCGGGCTGGCTTAAGGATATAACACAGTGATTTATTAATGCAAGTAACATGCATAAAAATAGTTCTCACTTCAAGGGTCCCTGCAGCACTATGTGTCCTGTGTCTGAGCGGCTTAAAGCATCAAGAGGCTTTTTTCTGCAGTAGCTATACTTCTACGGACAAACAACCGTCGAAGCCTATGCACGCAAACATATTTTTGCTGTTCGATGCACGGTTAAACTCTGGTATAAGCTTAAGCTTCCTGGAACCGATTGACCACACAAGAAAGATGTTTTGTTTGAAAGCAGCTAGGCAAAAGGGCTAAAGCTGTCATCATAGACTAAACGGCGGTAGCAGTTTGCTGCCAATCACCATTGCTTGATGCAGATACTGCACTTCCAATCGCCACAGATTGGGAATCGATTTGCTGCCTCAACTGACTAGGAACTCAGGCCGCTCCGGTGCATTATACCAGTGCTTTGATTTGACTACACAGGACCAGTGATTTCCCAGTACTTTTTCCAGATTCTTCCTTTGGTTTTACCGGGACGTTCATCTCCGCCAGCAATAAGTTGTCCTCAACTAGATGATGAGTCCACGCACTGTGTGGCGCACCTTTGGGATTGCCATCAAGATATATCTCTATGCTAATTGGCTGCTACCGTCTCAGCTCCGTTTTATTTTACTTTCCGACTTTTGACAGCCTGAGTGACTGCAGTAGCCAGTTCCCTGTGCTGTATGCACTCTCCATTCTCATAAACGTATCCCTACACGCAGAAAATGAGATACAACACAGCAGCACGAGGGTGCATGAAGACAAGCACATTACGCAATCTCATCTGACACGTGCAGTGGCAATTCACACTAGGCAAGCAACATTTAATTCGGCGTATTTCATAAAGCCAGTTTCCATAGACTCACTGCTAAACATGTGAACGTTGGGGCCACGATCATATAACAGCCACCTTCCTTATTGGCGGTGAATCCTGGTGGGCATTCTACTAGAGGTTTCTTCCTTTCCTGCCGGTAGCACATGTCAGTGTCACGGATTTTGAGGGGGGATGTTGTTGGTTTTTTTTTGTCCTTTAGATCGTGCCTGTAGAGTTGCGGCCCAACGGTGGTGGGGCGACCCAAAACTCCTGTTATTGGGTGATGTGGACTGGAAGGCTCTGCCAGCACACCACTTAGGCGGGAAGCGGCTTGCTCTGCTGCACGGGCAACAGCTGTATCCATTTTAAGCTGATGCACGGGGTCATGTATATGCCTCCATTGGTTTACTCCCATGATGAAATAAGCGAACGGCAGCTTGGTACCACTGAGACGCCGATTAACTCTGTGGTGTTCCCTGTGCTCTGCACCCGATTCTGCCCTTGCGTAAATTCCTTCTTTCACATCTCTTTCCTGCCTTCTAAGATAAACAGGCTCTGATTGCGATAAATTCCGGTGTTTGTCTTGGCTATCTCCTCCCAAATGCACCTGTTGTGTGCTGAAGCGGTTTTGGTCTGCACCACCAAAGAACTTCGACTGTTCTGTATCACCGACCGCTACCATATTCTGCGTGCCTGATTCCTCCCCTTGAGCATGCACCGCAGCATATAAGGCCAAAATTGGTAAATGCCGCTGTACTCGTGAGGATTCATTGAAAGTTTTATTCCTGTCTGCTTCTGTGGCATCGTTCCTGCTAGGTGGCAGCCACAGATGCGAACTTCTCCCATGTCCTTTTTGTTGGTTCATCTGGAATGTAGGTGATGGCAGAGCTTGCTCTCCATCTGCACCTCCGACCAAGTCTCTCCGCACACTACCTTTAGTAAAGTACTGTAATATGGGCCCCCCTACACTACCGGAGTAGAGGGTGCTGATACTGTCTCCAGGATCTTCCGTGTCATGCGTAGCAGTGGTAGTGAGTCGTCCACTCGTGCCGTCATTACTCTTTAAGACGCCCTGAAAAATTGATCCTGCAGATTGTTTAGTAACCGATTCGGGCTGCAGATTGTCATCCTTACCCTTTGTGCCGACGACCTTAGACCCGTGAGCTTGCTGAGTTGCAGCACTGGTTTTTTCCTCAGTTTCGAGTCCACTGCAGTTAACGCCCACCTTGACTTCATCATCTGCTGCGACCAACGCTGCAAGTGATCTGCCGCTGCGTTGCTGCTGCCTCCGTTGATGCTGGCTCTCTTCAAAATCGTCTTGGTTCTTATTCATGCTGCGCTCCTCACCTGCCTCGCTCTCCAATGCACGCGGTGGCTCTCTTGCCCTTTGTGACTGGAGCTGCGGCCCCCTAGCACGTGGCTGCCTACCGCTCGCCGGAGGTTCTTGAGCTTGATACCTCGAATTTTCACTTCTCTCTTCTTCAGCAGTTATGTCCTCTGCCGAGGATGTTGTAGGCTTGCGACCATTCCCACGGGACTGTCGCGGGCTCTGCTGGGCATCGCTTGTTTCCCCACTAGGCTCGATATTCCGTTCGTCCCTTCGGTTTGCTAAAGTAGGAAATCCTCGCGGCCTTCTTCTCTGCTGAATCCCCGCAGTATCGATCACGCCCCGTTGGGAGGGAGCGTCTTCATCTGTGCTGGACTCTGCTGCTCGTGGTGGTGACTGCAGTGCTGAAGCCTTGGAGTGCCCATAGGCGCCACTAGGCTGGGAACGCTGCCGCATACTGCCTGGTAGATTACTCTCCGCTGCTTCTGAAGCTTTGGGCAAGCGATTTAGGCTGTCCTCGGCACGAGGCTCAAAGTTGTCGACACTGTTTCGGTTATCAGCATGCTGAGTCTGAGCTATACGTGTGCCACGAGAACCTTGCTGGTTTCTGAAATTTTGTGCCTCGCCAACCCTGGACGTGTTGTTGGTGGATTCTTCTAGCGCCGTGTTGCTCCGTCGAACTGGAGCTACAGCGATGTCTGCAGGACCGCTGTGCCCGCGCTGACTACGGTCTATATTTTCCCCACTGCGCTCTGGCCGCGATGCACGTGATATCCCAACAGTACTATCGTGCTCTTCCAACGTCGCGTTCTCGTCTCCAGCGTTGGAATTCCTCTCTAGCCTGTTGTTACTCCGGTGTGGCGGTGGTCGCGGAGCCCTAGTCCGGCCGCTGCTATCGTTGCTGAAGCTATTTGACGAACTGACACTGCCATTTACGAGCGGTGCACTAGCTGGTTCATCATTTGTCTTCTCAGATTGCAGGGCAGCTCTTCTACCGTCAAGCATACTACTGCCTCCTGCTGTTTGCACCTTCAGAGCACTGTTGCGCCTCTCTGCGACGCCCGTTCTTGCTGAGCCTCTGCCGTCTAGAGATGCGAAGCCTGCATCTCGCTTTGCATGGTCCTTTTCTTCATTATTGCTACTTGTATCGCCCCTGCCACCACCTGCCAATCTGGTAGTTTGCTGGCCTTCAGTCGCTGAGCTTACGTCAGTCGAAGTTTTTTTCAAAGCAGAGTCCTTTTCATTGGGTGTCGGTGTATACTCGTCATCCTTTTCCATGGGCGCCGGTGGAGGGTCAAGGGGACAGTACCACTGAGGAGGCTTGTGCACCTGCCGGATTTAAAGCATCATAGTAATCAAATAGATGGAAAGATGCAGCATAGCTGAGCTCAGCACGGCCGTGGATAATTCGTCTACAATTTATACCTATTGTTAGGAGGTCTTGCCAAGCACGCAGGTACAGGTAGATGGAATGTCACTACAAACTCCAAATTCTATACCCCAAAGGAACAGCTAGTCTGAGACACTTACCACATGAATGCACATGCCTCCCTCCACTTGCCCATCACATATAATGTCGGGATTCCTGTACTCTATTCGAATGCAAACTTGTTGTACAGGGTCCAGTTTAAAGTTGGCATCGCAGGCCCAGGAGATGGGCATCTCGATATCTTCCTATATTACCAGCACAGTGCAAAGGGATAAATCAGTAGTAAGGGACCCCCGTACCAACCCCTGCGGGAGTTTCGGCGTAGGCTCAGACCCTGCCTAGATCATATGCTTTCTCTCAAGGCACCGAAACCTACCTCCCAGCAACCTGGTATGTAGTCCAACGCTTCAAGGCGCCTCCTAATGAGGTGTCGTGGCCTCTTATCTGACTGCGCTGTCAAGAGGTCCTCAGGTTGGGTCACCTCAGGCATGTGCACATCCAGCTTATCTTGTTTCTCCCTCAACTCGGCAGTCGCAGCGATACGTATTCCCCGTGTAAAGCCATTGTTAAAATAGGGCATGCCACGCTGAGACGACTGGCCTTGTGGCTTTCCTGGATAAATCACGTAATCGCCACCTTCGCTCTTATGCTGAGAACGAAAACGAGCTACTGCGGCTAACTGGCTCCTTTCGTGGATCTGAGGTTCAGCCCGGGTACGTCCATGAGGTGCAGTGGCATCCGAGTCCACCAAATTAATAGTTTGTCCCATTCCTCGTTGTAATGCATCGCGGAGAGCTTGCTCGTGCCCAGATAGGAGGGCCTGCTCTACAGCACCTGAATAATTTGTCACAGAGTCCGATGTTAGTCCCTGCGCTTCGCGCAAGAGTGGACTTCTCGAATCTGTCACTGCGTGGTGAAAGCGATTGTCATGCTTATGCTGACGAACATGATGGTGGCCACCTTTGATGTTGTATGCCATGGCATCGTTGGTAAGGTAAGGTAAGGGTGTACGATAAAAAGCTGGCACTGCACGTCCGTCAACGTGTGGATGACCCCCTAGCGGAAAACCTGATGCCCCAAATTGAGCACGTGTCGGTGGCCCTTTTGGGTCAGGATTCTCTTCTAAAGCATCTCCAGTCTGATTTGAGTTTTCTGCATTTGCATTCGTAGTCATAGTATCCCAAGTCTTCAAAAGTTCAGTTCCATTTTGTTTGGCTGAAGCGGACTGATCAAAGAACTGTTCGGTGATGCGCTGCAGCCTGCGTCTAACGTCCGATTTTGGTACAAAGTAGGAGGACAGCCCGTTATAATCTAATTCGGTGTCTTCGACTGTTGGATTCCACTGCAGATCAAATGCATGTTCAGCTGAGGCATCGTGGCGCATGGGGGCGCTGGATTTGTACGAAGTCAAGTGTGACATATCTCCAGGAAAGTCCAAAAAGAGCTCCCCGTCGCTCCTCCCACTTACATCCAAGTAAGTAGACCGGTCTATCGCTACACGGTCCTTACTCTCTGGGTCAAGCTCCAGCTTATTCTCAACTTCAATGACCATATCCCACGGAATATTTTCGTTTTCAAATTCACGCAGACTTTCCAGGCCTGCGTGAAGCTTGGATCCATATCCCTCTTTGTGGGCAATAAAGCTTTTGGAGCCATGTGTTTTCCCTGGGGTGACTGGAGCAGTAACGATTCTTTCATGATAAAAGCCTTCTGCTTCAGGTGTAATGATTCCAGGCGATGATTGATCACAAACAACTTCCCGTCTTCGGATGCAAAATCCATCCGATTCGAAAAATCCGGGGCTGCACACAGGTTTTGGTGACTCTGCGGTGACAATCTCGCATTGGTTATTCTGATTGAGACTTCCTTGCAAGCACTCCATTATCAGTGGATGGATTGTTCGCTGGAAGGAAAGCAGACCATACCACAATACCACGCGCAGTTTAAAGGCCCAAGTGTGACTGTTGACAAACAGCGAAATAGAAATACGTACCCACACCATTGAGCTAGTACACGTTTAGCTGTTTTCGTTGACTGTGGTCAACTTCAGCTTAGGCGAACCTGGACACATATATCTCCCTCAAGCCTCTCTTGCGGTCCCCAACATGCCATTCTCAATCGTGCCACTCGCGTCGCAACACACTGCTTTACACCATTGACGACCTGTTCCAGGTAACCTCCTGGACAGGGAGTGGCAAGTGGGAGGGCCAGAATAAAGCAAACTTCGTCTCTTAATACACCATTTGGGCAAACTCGAATTGGTGGCATTGCATGAGTCAACATGCATCGTGCCTGAGGCAATAATGCTCCTCATAAGAGCACGAACAAGGACACATGCACACATAAGTGAAGCTTGACGTGTCCATAGAGCAATAGAACACTTACACTAAGTATTGGAAAAGCATCGCAGTCCCTCTGAGGGTTGAAGAGGGGCTATAGCCCAGTAGGGTATGTGGCGTGAAATTTAGCCCGCTGTGCTCACAAAGGTACAAGATAGTTGTACTTACACTTGTTTCATCCATTACATATGGTTCTGGACAATTCCTGGGGACGAGGCCCACCGTTTTGCTTTTCGAACCAGGCATTGCCAAGGCGGCCATATGCAGCACTGAAAGTGCCGCCACGGCTGCAGTGACTATGTATTGGCCCATGGTCATATTAGGAGTGTTAGGCTGATCTTTGAATAGCTCTGCCTTTCCAAGAGAGGGCGGGCGTTGGGCCAGAGCGCCGCGAGGATCATGCGTATATAGACTCCTTCATTGGTACCTCCTGGCACCTAAAAGAAGAAAATTCATTGAACACATCCCAGCATAAATATATATACAATTAACAAGTTACTAACTTTATTCCAGTATTTAATGCCTCTCTGTGGCCAGAATTGCCTCTAATCGTGCCAGTAGATCAGCGACAGGGGATTTGTCCATGGCTGAACACATGGGATTATACTCTCAGAGTGCCACCCGAGAGTTGCATTTGATCATCGAGGCCAGCAACCAGCTAGTATCAGGATTTTGTCGGATTTCGATGTGATTTCTACTACCATATACTATTTCGTGGGGCTGCTGGCAACACTGCCAGGTGTTGACCGGGCCGCAGTTGTGGGGAGGAGGCCCAAACATTGAAACCTATGAGCTAAACCGTATCCAAGCATATCGTGGCCATTTAATTCCTACAATCGTTCTATCATTACGATGGGTGTAATATTTCAGTATATAAAGGCGCCTTGCCCCTCAGTGTCCCAGCATGCCACCGCGAAAGGCATCAGGGGGCGGCTCACAATAAACGCACGCCCTCGAAGAAATTCCCCTATAAATGTGCACGATAGCAGTGCCACAGCCTCGTAAGAAGCTACTTATTAAAACCTCACCCCTTAGCACTAGTGATGTGGCTATTGCATGCCTCGGGCCTGCTGCGGTACTATGCAGTGGCTAATTCGTGCTGATATACAGGAACGCAACCAATGACAGAGAACCGCAAGAAAGCTGCTTACTACTGCGTGGAAATAACATGAGAGTAAATCATCGTAGTCAGACACCCTGGTCCGGCCTTTATCCCCAAGGAGCCACGTACCCATCAGGACATCACACTCCATTGCACTCTGAGAAACGGACAGTGGCTGTGAGGAGTACCTTACTTAAGCTTTTAAGGATGTATGACGCTACCAAGGATGTGAAATGTGCTCCATGTCACCGCAATAACAACACAAATCAAATGGTGTATGTGGTCTCCCACGTTTGGGTTTATTCACTAGCAGTAGATCGTATGTGCACGTGAAATTCTAACTGTGACCGTCTTTGAGGAGCCTGATTTATTGTAGCCTGCATGTTGTGGTCTTGTGGCTCATTTACACTGCTGCAATGGTCGGTAGAGCTTATACGGTTTGCTGCCTATTAATCAGCGTCACTGTGGAAATATGAATAAACATCCCTAGTTTGATGCAAATACAGATATTGAAGTGCTTAGCCTTTAAGGTATGCTAGTTCTAAGCCCTGCAAAGTGCGTGATTGCATTGCCTTTTCCGCATCGTAGTTTTTTGTGGGAGAGCATGACTTTTGGGCCAGATGCACTTCAGTCGACGATACGCGGATTATGCGAGTTGCAGTGGGTTCTCCACGATAACTTGCTATACGAAGGAAATTGGTACACTTCCTACAGCATATGCACTAATTCTGCAGAACCTTTCGTACTCCCAAGGGCCGCATCACTTCATCAGTGCCCCAGCGCCTTGGGTACCCTGGCGGACATAGGATGTCTTGTCACTTCATACCGAAACCCATATTGATGTTTGCTGATTGCTCAAGCTGCTGCTCCGAGGATAAGTTTATGCATGCAGAATCAAAAGACGGGTTGCAATATGCAGGAAACGAGGTCCTAAAACTACACCCCGTCATTATGTGGCTTCCCAAAAGGGCCTGCCATCCACCGATTTCATTACTACTTGAGGGGTCAAACGGAACGACGGCAGCAGCCGAATGCCTCGTATGCCGTGGACACTGGCAAACTGATGGCACTGAGGTACTGTTTTTCCCACATAGAGTCATCAGGCAAAAAAATTCTACGAAGCACGCAGTTGGGTAAGGCATTGATTCCATCTGATGGATTCGTTAAATAGCGTTTTTGTTGCTGATACTGATACTGTGTATGTTTTATTTGTTCTGTCGAATTCATGCATATAACGAATCATTGTGCAATGGTGCCCTAGGCATCAAGATAGCGAGGTAGAAGTGTTGCAATAGGGTTCCAATGTTACCAAGGCAAGACCTGGCGCTGGGGTGCGGAAAGGGGTTGTTCCAGCAAGAAGTCCTGTTAGTCTCGCACGGTTCCCAGGTTTTTCACTATCCCACTGTTTCTGGCAGCTGCACTGGGTGGCGGTGCCTGAAGGTACTGTTGCTTTTGCTGCTGGTGTTGCTGTTGTTGCGCTTTCATATGGATATGCTGCTCGTGAGCCTCCTGCAAGACTTCTAGAATGTAGGCGGCGTACAGCGCCGCTATTTCCCGTGACGTGAGATTGGAATGGTACTGCAGAGACCAGTTCAATTTTCCGTCGATCGTAACACAGTTATGAGCGAAGTAGTTCAAGCCAGTATCATGCTGCGACACAATAGACCAGCTACTATCTATAGAAATGTCAAATGGCTCTAGGTAAGGGAGTAGGCCGTCCAAATCATCCACCAAGCCCTCTACGCCGCATATTCCTTCTGTGTAGGAAGCTGGTTGGCTCTTGAGGTACTGCTGCTTATCTATTGGAGAGTTCACAACGGAGGAAAGTTTTACGTCTGCAGCAGGGCTGCGGACACTGCTGTTGCGGCTGGCCGTAGCTTTTATTATAGACGCTGCTGGTGGCGCATCAGCCCTAACAAAAATTTTACTGCTGCGAGCAGATCTGCGCCCTCCGCCCTGTCTCTTGTTTCTCAAGGATGCGTCTGGAGCTCCTGCGACACCTGAAAATTGTGGAGGCAGAGGGGACAAAACCTGCCTTTTTGTTGCTTTCTGCTGCAAAACCATCTGCTGGTGTAGCATGTGTCGTAACATCCTTCGATGTCTATCGGTGGCGGCACGAAGGTATCCATGAATTTCCGAAGAGAACTTGCTGATTGGGCCACCTGTCCAAACACCTCCATTAGAGATAAGGAATACCGATGGTCTAGCGAAGGCATCATCCTTGAAAGGCCGCAAGCACTTTAGTTCCCCCCTCACCTCTTCCACAAAGGAGGATATTAGCTGAAAGTTTAGAGTTCCAAACGATGGATTAGTCAGGGACGCAAATTCCTGGACAGAATCTGTACATGCCTTTCCTAGAGCCCACACAGCGTCCGCCCCTTCGTCACACTCCACTGACACTCGCAGCTTCAAGGGCATTAGCAATGCATACGAACCGAGTCCAAAAGGAGGCAGCTGCTTGTGCTGCTGCTGGATCTGTGTGCTCTGCTTATGAGTGCTGCTGCTAGGGGCGCCCCACAGCCATTGTGAGACCTGTCGCAGACCACGCGATATGCGACTGCTGACTGTATGCGTCTGGTCACGTAGCCGCTTTGAGCAGCTGGTGCTGTTGGTGCTACTTACCGCTGAGTACACAGATGATTTATCTGTTTCTTCTATGGAGTCGGCACTGATTGTGCTGGCGCGTGTGCAGTACAGGCTGCTACAAGTAGATACGGAGCTATGACCGCTTGTTTCAAGAAAGCCATGGCAAGTCCTCTTGCAGAAAGGCTTGCTGAATGCCTCAGGTACTTTTTCTGAGTCCACCGAATCTCTACACCGCCTAACCTTTTGCATAATGTCAGGAACAGCAATGGCTGGTGGTTCATCCGCAGATACACCCGAGGAGTGACGCTGGGGTTGCTCAGTCTTAAAGAAAGCCTCATTTCCATGGTGGCCAGCAGAGCCAGCCTCGTTCGTGTTTCGCTGCTGACATGCCTGTGTGTCGCTGCTGATTCGGCTCCCACTAGTGCTTCTGCTGCTGCTGCTACTACTTCCCCATAGTAGCGAAGGCGGGTAACGTGGCGACTGTGTCTGTAGGCTAGCAGCAGAAGGGCTCCCTGAGATAACCATTGCAGCGGATGCTGCTGCCATAGCAGCAATAGATCTTGAACATTTGTGGCGTTTCATGCTAATAGTCAGGTGTTGCAAGAGAAACTCCTCGAAGTGCCTGTCGTCTTTGGTGTTTCTCTTGCGACCTCGCGAGTGTTTGTCTGGATATTGTTGCTGTTTGTGCAGCCAGCTATCAAGCCAGCGGCGGCCGCTTATTGCCTGGAGAGTGTATATGTACACAGGCCCTTTGTGCCTGAAGAAGTGTCTGCTGGAATCTCCAGGAAGACCCTCTCCAGATACTGGCGAGCGCAGTGTGAGCTGCTGGAGCATCTCGGGAATGTGGGAGAGGGACCAGCCACTGCGCAGGGTGGTAGCATTTCTGCGGCTCATGACTGAACGCGACAGAAGTCCTTTTGGCCCCTTGTTGCCGCTTCCAACACGCTGGGGCATGGTCAGCAATTCTTGGATCGAGGGGAGCCGTTGAATTTCCTTGCCGACAGCCAAAGAAGTATCATTACGCTGTAGGCGACACAATGCTTCAGTAAGACTGGTGGACCCTTTGTCGTTGGGGCTCAAAAGAGCACCAGATTTCATCGGCATTTGAGCCTGCCTTTTCTGCGCTTTTCCCAAAGTGTCTTGTTCTATGCCAGCATGAGCGAATGTCACATTGGGTGAAGGGTTTTCTTGTTCACTGATAGTTCCTTTAGTACACCCTTGAGGTGTTTCCTCGTCTACTGGCTTCAGCAAAGGCCTGTCTTGTTGGTTCTGTGGAGCTGCGTCCCACAAAGACTGATGCTGCTGTGGCCAACAATTTGCAGCAATAGCAGCGGCAGCGACGCGGGAGAGGTCAGCAAGCATGCAGTGTTGTTGCATTACATGCTGTCTCCGCCAGAGCATCCTTGAAAGCGCCACCGCTGCTGCAGTTGTTATTAGGCCATTCATTGTCATATTTTTCTCTTTGCATGCAGAAAGTAATCCTGAAGTAAGTTTTTGCGAAAGTCGCAGTGTTATCACACCAGTGAAGGCAGAGCTTTCCGGATATTTTGGCTCCCCCGAGTGCTCTCTAGGAAAAGGTACGTCATGCTGTTGTTTGACCTGTCGAGAAGCACGGGGGGGGAAGAGCTGTTGCTGCCTGCAATTGGGAAATGCAGGATTTGTTACTTCATCCTTGTGAAACTTATACTCGGATCCAGACGCCCTAAAGCGAGCAGATGGGTAATAAGAAGCAAACGGGTTTCTCAGCGTTTGCATCAACTGCCTCTCCATCATATACATCCTCACGTGGAAGCCGCCCCCCGGGTACATGAGAGGCCGTAGTAGTGAAACACAACGGGAAACTCGAAACAATTCATTCAATGCCGGGGGTAGTACAGTTGGTGGTGGTGGCAAAACTGTAGTTGTATCCTGTCCATTTTGTGTGGTGTCTTCTCTAGCATAGACTGCTGCACGGTCTACCGATCCAGCAGAGACCGCCGAGAGTCGCCGGATATAACTCGAGCTGTGTGCTGTTGGCGAGTCCAGTGGTCCCTTACAGTGTTCAAACTCCAATAGAGGAAGACATGTGACACAAGTACTTCCTGCGCTACTGCGGCGCAAATACAGACCGCCTCCGGCATTGTCGGTGCTGGTGCTGTTGCTACTACCCCGACGCCAGCGATTCACAGGGCTCATGGTGGGTGTTTGCATAGCCGTGCTTGCAGCCGACGCTGGATTTTTGCATCCTTGTTGGTGCAGCGGTCCCCCGCCTTCATGTGACTCTTGCTGGCACTGTGCAGACAGCTGAGCTGCGACTGCCGTCACTGCTGTGAGAGCCTTGACCCGCGAGGCATACTCCGCATACTGCTTACTGTTACTCAAAGTGGTAATACACTTAAACAACTCATCCCAAAACTCCTTTCGGCTTAGCCCATCTATAGTCGAGTGATGGAAGACGCCTATTATATGCGTCCGAAAGCGCCGGTGGCCTTTGTTGCTGCTGCTTCTCTGCTTGGGCTGCTGCGGCTGCGAGCTACTCAAAGTGATTGAGGAAGTGTGAGTCCTTTCAAGGGCTCTTCCTATTTGCTGAGGAGTAGGCAGGGGAAGGCTTGCGTCAGCTGCAGTAGTCAACTCCTCTTCAGACGGCAGCATCCGTAGCCGCCATAGGGGCCCTGCAGCACATCCAGCGTCGACTGGGGTGCTCTGTTGTCACCATGCTCTGATCCCAAGGGCTTCCTAAGAGCTTGTTTTAACTCCAATAAATCACAGTAAGCCCTCACCCGGATGGACAGACTAGATTGAATGGATTTTCGACTAGCTATAGCCAACCAGACTACTTGTCTTTCTCCGAGGAAGACCTGGCTGCGTATTACAAACCTTTCACGAAACTGCTTTTCATGCCTTACCCTCTTCGCAATTAAAAGGAATCTTTTGCTCCCACGCCATCGCCTTCATCCACGGATGCTCCTCTAGGAGCCCCAAATCCAGTTGTGGCAATTCGTGCTGCTGCCATGCTAGTCCAGATGAGGAGATTGAGTCCTTGACAGTAGCATGATCAACGTCTATTACCGGCTCCCCAGGCCTTTCGTGAAAAGTAAACTTGGCATCAGCTCTTTTTCTGCACCTGCACGGCAAAGGAAAGCTCATGCGTTCCCCCAAGTTTCTTTCAGCATCGCTGTTGCTATCTCTGGCGATGCTGCAACTGCTGCTGCGTACACTGCTCCGAACATTTATGTTGCCGAAGCTATGTCTGCTGACTTGGCTTGCACACCGCCGCGAACTCCATCCCCAGGCAGCACGTATTCCCCTATTGCAACTGCTCCCGCGGGCGTTGCAGCTGCTTCGAGTGTTGTGGCAGCTTGCATCCGTATGAAAGCTTTGGCCAGAGGGGTTCGGGAGGCCTTCACTTTTTTTTGAAACGGATTCTTCCCTTAGCAAGTCTTCGCTGCTTGCTTGTTGTTGCAGCGGCTGCTGGCTTTTTAGGGTCACCACCAGATGTTCCTGCTGCTGTCGTGCCTGATGCTGTGCAACGGCCTTGGTATCCGTGAGTCGTATAACAAGTCTCAATGCTTGATTTCTACGTGCTACAATTGTAGCTGCGTGCCTGAGTGTCTCAAGCTCAATGGGATGGGAAGAGACAACAGCAACACAATTAACTATTGCTAGGTTTCCCAAGCGCAAGAAGGCATTCCAGAAACACTCCGTTGCATCTAAGTGCCTCACAGGAGGCAGATAATCCGTGTGGTCAGAGTTATCATGCCGCTTTTTTTGCGATAAGGGCTCGCTACACCCAGCTCCATGCTGCTCAACTTGGCGCCGGAGCATTGGGGGTCCTACAGTACAGCCACCACTCGTGAGTCTTCCGCAGCGCGGGCCAGAGCCCGTTCCCGGTGAACCTAAAGCACGCACAGCAGGTGACATCGCTTGAAAGTCTTATTAGGGATAGGAAGTCTTGGATGTAGTGCGCGAAAGAGGGGAAGTCATGGAAGGTGATCTAACCTTCCATGTGAAGTTTCGTCACCGGCGTGGCCATCCGTACAGACCTGCACATAAATCGCACTGGACTACTGCAGAAGTCCAAGTGCTTTAGCAGTTTTTGAATTGGAAAAAGGGTTTTGATGCACCATTCATTGCTCGGACTATATGTGGTCCCACATTAAACCCGAAGTCGGCCAGTGTGGGGTCACCGTGTTCGGAGCTACGTGCGAGTGACCCATACAGGGTTACACAGACTCACCAGAAATGTGGCCCTAATTAAAAGGTACCTTTTTAAGAAGTTTCCTCTTGATCATGCATGGGAAATAAAATTGCTTGCTCTGTTTCCTTTCCGCTCTCCACTGCTGTTGGGTTGCGGCGAACAGCAGCAACCGTCAGCTCTCCGACTTACTGAGCTAGATGACGACTGTTGTTGTATCGCTGAACCACATAAAAGCATGGATGCACAATGTGCGCCTTGTACTTTCACTGGGGAACTTCCATCTGCGCGCACTTGCCCCAGTTTCCTGCGGCGTGTGGTTGTCCGCGTCGAGAGACACAGAGTGCAGTCCGATGCCTAAAGCATGGACTTTGGCAGAACAAGCGGATTAAGATTTAACAAGAAAGTAATTAAACCAGAGAGCCCAAGTTTGGGCTTGGTAACGCAGATTAGCGGCTGGTTAATGGGACCCACGTCTGCTCGGTCGGATGGGCAATGTCGCCCAACACGCAGATCACGAAACACCAAGCCCTAAAACCATCAGTACTCTATCATTCAAATTTGCATTGAATATATATGTATAGATATTTGCTGCAACCAAAAACTTGTTTTTTCATAACAACCCAATGAAACTAGAATCTCCGTTTTCCAGATTGATGTTTTGTGTTCTAATCGAAATATTCGGACATGTCAGAATATTCTGTCTGAAAGACACTTATACTTTCGTACTCTCGGTGAGCCACAGCAATTTAGAAGATACTCTCTCAATCAACGCACTAGAACTCTGAATTAAACGACATTGTGCGTTCGAAGTACCTCATACTGATTTCCACGTCTGGCTTGAAGTTGATATATGTAATGAATATAACCCTTGCCTGTTGCTGCAAGTGGTCCTCTGTGGGGTTCATTGTTACCTAAGCCTCAACTTTCCGTCAAACACGCCGTGGTAAAAAAATCTGCGTAAACAGCATATAGGTCGTCAACATTGTTAGTCCTTCTGGTAGCGTCGATTTGGCATCTTGACAATATTTTCCCATATTCCAACATGAATCAATAAATAATGTACATATGCGTAGCCTCAATATGTTAGAGTGCATTGCTTGAGCATATTCTGCTGTTCAAAGCATTCGTGGCATATACACACATGTATCAACGTTTTCATAATCCACCTCACGTTCGCGCGCATATGTACAACCACATTTATGTTCCTATTTACGTACTATGTGCAGTAATACCTAGTGAATCACTGCAACTCTCAAGATTCTTCTATAGTTCGGTACGGAGACACTTGTCTACGGACTTACTACCAACTTAATGAAAAGCTGTGGAGCGCGTCTCAGAAACTCCGCCATTTTCCTGCCCGCGCCTCTCCAAGGCTCCGACAGTAGAGCAGAGAGGCAGCTGTGCTGCGCATTGCTTCACCCTCTTAGCACTTTGATTGCTCACAACTACTTGCACACAACATCTAGCGCACACGCACATATCACGTGGTCTTCTTGCATCACGTTGATAATAGACAGCAATAATATCGTTGAACTGGGAAGCTCAAAGGTCATTTATATCTAATTTCTATTTGACATCAAGCAATGCCGTAGTGAATATTGGTATGTAACTTTGCACGCTACCTCCTCCCCACTCCATGCCACTCAAAATTTCCGTCTAGAGTTTCCCCAGTGCTCATTGGTCACACAATCGAGCGCTTTAATACCTCCTGTGAGCTCTTTGCCTCCATATGGGTCACGTGACTGCGCAGCGATGTCCGTTGACAATTCGGGAGATAGAAAGCTTCCTCTGAAAGCAATAAAGCTTAAGGTATTCGAGAGAGTAATAAAGAAAATCCATTCGCGCGAAAATAAAAATTTGTCATAGCTACATCGCCATAAGCGTCCTCGTGTATTCAGCTTTCGATAAAACTCTCAAAGCCTGCCGACCCACCAGGACCGAGTCTCGGGGCTTAATACGCACAGCCCAACACTGCTTGTAATTCAGTGTATGCGTCTCTTGAGCTTCGCGCCTACATTTGTGCGCACTGGATGATTGTTTTCCAATTCCCTACATTACTGTGACTGCTGATACCCGACCACCAGATTCAGGCTTTTACCATAGAGGGGCTCTCAAGTGTAGACCAGGGATGGGAGAGAGCGACGGTCAGAAAGTGTGCTGCTGCAATATGAACCTACTGAGCATCAACAAGAAAAACGCGCCAGGCACCAAGACTCGTCTACTGCAGTAGAGTTCGGTCGTGGATTTCTTTCTGTCTAGCTCCCTCGCGGCGGTTCGCAACGGTCATATTCCGGTCAGTGGGTACATTCGGCCTGAAAGCACGTCAGAAAGTACTGAGGAACTTTGGATCGCTATTCGTAAGGAAGACGTCTGAAGAGTTCATAAACCTTTTAGTGAATCAAGAATAGCTGTGCGACTGTCCGTTTAGTAATAGCTGCAACAAGGATGAAGTGGACGTATTTGGTGAGTCTTGTGACACCGACGTAGATAATGTGCGGAGCCTCGGCCTCCGGCAGTCTAACAATAAAGTCCATGCAAGATCAGTCTAAAACCCTTTAGAAGCCGGAAGGCCTCGCAAACGGCTGGGCCTAAGGGAATCGCGTAGCTTCAGCTGCTGGCAGTCTGGGCATGAAAGTACATACTCCTCTGCCAGTGGGCGCACCGCAAAAACCAAAGGAACATAGGAAATTTCAAACGTACTATTAGCTTTACCATGATCCGAAAGAGCTGTATTATGTGTCTGGTACAAAATTGCACGACGTAACGAAGTCAGAATCGACAACCGGAGATGTCCCCATTGTGTTTTTGAAGGAAACCCTGTCATACTTAAGGTTATAGTGCTTCACTTTTTGCTTTTCCAAAGAATTCATAGTAGCGACGTATGCACGGGTGTCAAATGTATAAGACTCAAGGAAGTCCGATGAAACTGTGAATCACCAAAAAAAGAATTGTTGCGCTTCACAGTAGTGAATCTTTGGGGCGTCGCGAAAGCGCTCATGAAACCAAGTCGGCGATCCCCTCAGTAGACTTCACTGTTAAGTCGTTCTTCAGGCGGCGCCCAAGCCAACGAACAACTAGGATTATAAAAAGCCCGCAGAACTCGTTAGGTATATTAAAGATGGGTGATCGGTAAGGACAGTAAAATAGATCCCATGTAGACAGTGCCTGGGATTTTGTCACGCCCCATGACATTGCATAAAGCCTTTTTTACGCGCATATGATGCCAGTGCTGGGTTTCGCTGAAACTTTTCGAAAATCTCAAGCAAGTGCGTGATCATTCGGAGAATTCATAGCTTGTCGGGAGTGAGCAGTATCCACCTGTTTAAATCTAGTATCGGTTGTTAGGAAGAAATGACCTCTACTTTCGGACAGCGCAAGCATAGGAGGAGTCATGAGGTAGCCAATACATTTTTCGCAACCCGATCAGTGTACTGGCAGCGATCCCAGTAAATCCAGGGGTGAAGTTTTGACAATAAGATGCAAGCCTTTAGAACTCTGCAAGTCCTTAAGGGTACGGACTGGTAGAGGCAACCACTTTATTGCTTCAATTTCTGCCGGATCTGCCAGAGCTCCAGCCGCCAATACATAAGTCCCAGAACGTAGTTATTTTATGGAGAAATAAATTCACGTGTCCCTTTCACATGCTACTGCCTCACACGCAATAGCTGGAGTGTACTCTGTTGATACTCTAGGTGCCCTTGAGCGTTTTCGCCGAATCCTAAGACGCCCTTTATGGACACACCCATCCGTGCCTCCTGATTGGCTCATAGCCATCCTGAGTAACTCAGTGTTACAGCTCAGCTTGGGCATCAACAAATTCGACCGACATACAGGTATGGTCATGTCTGCAACTATAAGTGCGGAACGCCGTTTGCTCCTGCCATATGGCAAATGAGGATTTCTATGAAGGTGTCTATGAATGAAAATATCAATTGGAATGTCGGTCGGCGAGTAGGTCTACCTGATTTGCTAATATGAGGCAGTGGGACCTTCTGTTTCACTCGTATCCAGGTGGGGCTCATTAGGTTGCCCTACGTGCAACACCTCCCCTCCTTTCTCGGCACCAACGCCCGGTTCCGCTAAAAAGTTCTCGTGAATCTGTGCGGTTTGCCGTCTTTCAAAATGTTTTCTGCTTGCCGCGTAGCCTTTTCTGGATGTGCGGAGATTCGATACTGGGGTACAGAGCTGGAAGCTGACGATGCGATGGACGACCAACAGGTGGTCATCCTGCTCGCAGCTCGTCATTATTTAGCGAATCCGCAAACTAAAATCTTATATTTACCAACTCCCAGTGCCCTTCGGCTGGATAGACAATTAAATGCCAGAAAACAATACCACTGGTAGAGCGAGCAAGACAAAGTGCGTGCTCTGGAATGCCTTGTATTACTGCGCTGCCTAACCAGCCGCACGAAGACTTTGCCTCACCTTGTTGAGGTACAGACTATATTCTACTGTACTCACAATACACATAATGAGCATTGCTTAATGAAATTACCAGTCGCGCCTTCCTAGGGCTCCCTAGTATACTAATTTATACAGTGATGCTGTGTTAGCGGGGCCGCCTTTCATTGGGTCACGAATCGCATACCCAGGCAAAGGTCAGGGTGCACCCGTCCGATAATTGGTATAAGGACCATGATGACCGGACCCATATAAAAATAACGCTTGATTGCCTTAGCCCTTTCGAGCTCTGTTTCCTGCCGGCTCTCAGCGAAAGCTGTGTCTTAGACAGTGCACCGTCTCCTCACATCATAGATCCACTTCACATTCAGTGTCAACTAATGCTATCGATTGTTAACCAGTACAGAGAGTGCGCAAAAGTTAACCTTTGCGACACACCGACTGCGACGCCGTCCTCTGTAAACACCTTCATTACACCAGTCTGCAAGGGAGGCTTGGCGTTTTCCGTGCCAAGCACCCTGCTTCCACTGGGAACAGTCCCGTCTCCCAAGCAGTTTGGCTTTTTGCATGAGCTTCCAGTTCATAATAAAATAAGCACATTTTCCACAGCAGATTCCGTTGGCTTACTGGGGTCTGTCTTGGGCTACTTACGAAAGCGGGTTCCCTCTGGCGTTCCTTTCCTGTTCATCGTAGGCTGTAGGATGGTGCCGGTTGGCAGTGCCCTGGTCTCTCCGGAAGTTCCGAATTCCCTTACCTTTTGTTTTTCAGAAGGTGTAGGCTCTGTGCTCATCTTCTTAAGCCTAAGATAGTCCATTATTGCAGCCACAGCTGTCGGTTGTCATCATTACGCCGCTGCCCATCTTGCAACCGCCTGGCCTGTCACTATAGACCTCAAAGAAACGGCTAAATCAGCTGGTGGGCTATGTTTTTACATTAACAAGTAAACGCTTCACATATCTGGATATAAAGGTATACTGCCAGAAGCCCCTGCTTCAGGTCTTTCAATTCTTCCAAGGCTCAGTGCTCAGCTGAGCTTGGCATACGCCGATAAGTCAGGACTTGTACAAAAGCTCGAGGTCTAACAATACCTGCAGGCAGACTACTTCCTCTACATTAATGGAGCCATCCTTGCAGTGATTATCCTTGAAATAGACTTGCCACAAGGAAATCTCGTTTCTCTTCATCTAGGGGCCACAGCGAGGTAGGTTCCAAAACGGGCTAATAAATTCTTTGAGGAATCGCCTATTCTGGAGGCCATCATATTTTTCTTTCTCGTAGGAGACGCCTTATCGAGAACTTGTTGTTGGCTGATAAGCCGTGGCTTTATGCCAGCAGTGAAGCTACTTTAATCACATCAGCTTGCAGGCCGGCTTTTGCTGCGCCAACGCGTGTTACTCCACCGTCAGCTTCCCGTGCAAGGAACAATTTCCCCCTGAGTGCTGACAAGGAAATACAAGATAACCAAGTGCGAAATAAAATCTTTGGGGCCAGGCAACCGTTTTTTTCGAAAACCTCACATCCCATTGCATCGAGAGCCAGCGGGTCAGTGGGGAACTGATGTGCAAAGTCATGTGATACTATTAGCTGTGGGGCTCCATCTAAGGTTTTTTAGGGGAGACATTCGACTCGGAACTCGATACAAACGTAGTAGCGGGCTACTGAGCGTGTCTGAGAATGCTCCCGCCCTCCCTTGCTCGCGGCCCTCAGAGCTCCCGACACGGGGGCAAGGAAGCAGCTACGGTGCACGCAGCGCGCTGCAGGCACTCAGACCATTAACAGCTAGTTGCTCATAGCATCTGGTGCACTTGGTTATTTCTGCGTAGAGCTAAGGTTAGTCTGAGTTAGACTGAATACACAAGCAGACCAACTATCCAGTCCGTTTCCTACTAGCTCTTAGTAAAAGTGTTCTGGTATGTATGCTAACGCGCTACAATGCTAGATTCGAGGAATCTTGCGAGTTTATTGCTCGATGAACTGAGTGCTTGGACTGATATCCATGCCCTAGCCTATGAGTGCCCAACCTAGGGCTAAAATATCCAGTATATGCGTTGGTGATTATATCTGGGCTGGCTGCGCTTCATCACTTTCTCCTACACTAATTATGTGTCCACAAATGGTTGTTTTTGAATTGACTGGTCGTATCTACTATTTTTCTCGGACTTGATTCAAATCTAGGGCTGAAAGTTGTCAGCATCTGCTCTACCTTGCCACTGTGTAACTGCGTGCATATGCTCGGGGTGCTGTCAGCATGCGACAGCACGCAAATACGTTGTCCCTCTTCCCTCATGCTGGAGCTCTCTCGGAAGCGACAAGGAGAGGAACGAGTTTCTTATTACGGAGACTGGATTACCATTTTTAAACTTCTAACGGGCTTTAGACAGAGGATTTCCTTACTCAAACCCTTAATGGAACGCTACAGTGGCCTGCCAAACAGCTCGTAGTAAAGGACCAAAGTTCCTGTTGTATATATAGACGTTGTGTATGACTCTTTATTAAGCTAACATTTGAACTGACAATGCATTCTTTCCTTCCTTCCATAAAGTAGGGGATAATCATTGAAAGGGCAAAACTCAACAGGCCATGCATATGGACTCGCGCTGCGCCACATTTCGTTTAAGAGGAAAACGCTTCTAGGGAGGGTTCAAAATACCCAGCTATCATCTTCCAGCCTGTGTTCCTATCTTCATGCCGTTATTGGCCGTTCTACTATAACAGCTATTCTCGAGGGTGCAGTCGAGTCCAGGCCACCCTGTACTGGTTTTGTGGGGTTAGGGCGGGCTCGCCTGAAGCGTAGTATGGGGCGCATTTTGTCCAAGCTTGCCTTTACTTTATTGAGTTCTCGTATTCCGTCCAACCGTTACTATCGTCTGACTATGCTTGCCGTATAATGGCCCTCTAATTGAAACCCCTGGCCATCAGGTGGAGCGCTACGCAGTTGCATGCTCTAGAAGGGAATGCCACGATGTATTCGGCCGAGTCTGGTTGCACGATATTTTGATATTTCTCAAGCCATACTTCCATAATTGTAAGCAGTCGAATTTTTTTGGAAAAAGGCTGCGAGGTCCATGTAATTTTATTCAAGTGAATGTGGAAAATAACAACTCCACATGGCACTCGGAAAACTATCCGAGTGACGGGGAGCTTAAGCTTTATCAGAAGGCTCACATAGACTGGAATATCTTAAAGCGCCTGAGAATCTTCAACGTCTCTGGCTTTCTTAGCGCGAGCCCAAATGCTACGAGTAGTACAAGATGGCGACTGGAACTAGATGGTGACAAACCAGATGACTCTATCTTAAGAAGTTACGAGTCCTTGAGAGGGATATGTCAACTCAAATGCATATTGATGCACCAAGTTTGATGTATTGCCGTTCATTTTCATCCTGAAAAGGTGTAGTTAAAGGGCTAAAAACACTATGGTAATGAGGGCCCGCATATTTAAACTTGCTTTGGACATCTTGAGGAGCTCAACGCTAACAAAACGGACGGAAGCCTGCATTCCCATGGTCTCTAGAAACTAAATCTTAAAGGCCTCTTTCGAGCCTCATGTGTTTTGCCGTTGAGCGGTGCTGGCTGTTTCCCCCCATAGAAGGAAAGATATGCCACACAAGGAAACTTCCGGCAAAACCATACAAAGAGCTCGCTCTGGCAGGAGGCAAGCCATAGTTACGACCGCGAGAGGTCTGCCAACAATATTCTAAAGTTACCAATTACCATTGAGGTGGTACTTCAGTGAATACATAATTGACGGATCAGGGAAACGCGACGTCAGTGCGTGGCTTTTCCTATCAGATAGCCTTCAAATATGACATTGCAAAAACAAAGCTTTCATGGGTAAGCTTTGAAGTGCTTCATTAGAGTCATAATGCTCGTTATCACAGTTTGGTCACAAATCCCGAACCGTGCTGGACTGAGACCTGTGGTTTGGGTCTCTTAAGATAGCTCACGGGGGTAGAAGAGGGGAAAGTCATTGGAGGTCCATATCAAAAGATCTAGTATATCGACGGAGAGCTAGCAGATATCGTTTCGACAGCTCATAGTTGCACAGCTAGAGATTAAGCCAGCGGGCCGTAGGATATTTGAGGCCCACGCTCCAGCACCCCCGTGGATGGGCGCATGTTACTCTCCCTCTGCTTCTTTGCATGTTAAGCGGTCAATAAGAACTTAGGATTGAGTTAATTTAACGGCGTATCGTAAATTTCGTATGTGACCAATAACGGCACTACAGTGTGGGCGCTCTATGCCGCCCCACACCAGCGCCTGCCAGCGTGATTCATGCGGCTTCTATACCTGCAGTCTGATTCATTTCCTGATCCTTTACGCCTCACGCATTCATCATTAGGATCGTGTGAGGCTGACTGGAGGGCGCAGAGAAGGCCGTGTATGTACTCGGGTGGACATTGACAGTAGCCCGTGGGGCCTGAACGTCCAATGTAGTGTTGTCGTTCGGGCGATATGTTATGCGCTGACGTTATCAACTTTCCAGGAGTATTATTCTATCGGATCAGAGGCAGGGGGCCCTCCCGGAGTGGGCCGGAAGCACAAATCCTCATGGAGAGATGGGGGCCCCTCGAGACTCGGGCTCCCCCAGGGATCCTGAGAGGCCTCAGGCCCTGAATGGAGGGGGAGTTGCAATGTCAAGAGTAAATCCACCGGTTTGTAATGCCAGCATGCACGGGCTTCCTTCGACTGGAGCACCTGATGATCCGGAAGGCAACTCTATTGTCGAATTTGTGGCTTCTCGCGAAGCGCACAGCGGTGGTGGTTGTAAGGTGAGAGATGCGGTCAGCGGAATGTATGTGTTCCAAACGTTTCGGCAGCAGCTACAGCATCAATTGCAGCACGGCCCCTCTGGCGGCCGCCATCTCTCAGCGTTGGATGTTATCGATGTTCATGAGAGGGCTGAGCGCCATCGCTGGAAGAGAGTAAGGGCCGAGGAGGCTGAGCAGGAAAAAGAGAAGCAACAGAAACAGATCGGTAAGCGACTATTGCTGCTTTTCTTCATTTGTCTCTCCAGTAAACATTTGCATGGACCTCATCCTGCTGCGCGTCTCTCTGCTTCTCATCTTGAACTGAGAGCAGGTCGCAGCACACGTGCCCTGCTCTCTCTTGTTGCCAGCAGAATGTTGCGTCACAGTTTAATATAGTAGAGCAACATTTGCTCCCGGCTTCTTTCTCTGAGTTGTGGTGTGCACAGAAACCCAAGAGAGCAGCTTCTCGCGCCTCGTTGCTCACTTCCTACAGGGCGTTGAGGCTCGTGGAGAAGCACGCCAGCTGCTGACACACCTAAGTAGTTCAGCACCATCATTGCCTTTGCTAGTGCTGCAGCATGACAGTATCATACAGGAATTGCTGCTGCATCTGAGGAGTGATGCCACGTACAGCGTTGGGCTGCAGCTCATCCCAGCACTTGTAAAGGTACGCTAATACCCTTCTGTACAATTGCTTCTTTATTCTACTCTTTGCCTGCATGTCTATGCGACTGTTTCTTTCCATATCTAAATATCATACTGCTCTCTACGTTTGTGACTTTCTCTAGGATCTCCGATGGAAGTTTCTTGACCACTTCCAGTGTACGGTTGAAGCGCTGCACCTTCTCCTTTTCGACTTGGAAGATAGGCACGATGCTACCGGGATCCAGCAGCTCTTTACGTGTCTTTCTCAAATCTTCAGGTTTGCATCATGTAGCTGCTTAAATATAACTCCATGGGCTTGCCGTGAATTGATGCAAACAGCGAGCGACACATAAGAATCGTTGCTAAAATAGGTCAAGTGGGGTTTCTTGCCTTTCTTTCACGTCCGCTAAGAAATGCTTAATTGGGTGTTTATAATTAACTTTAGGTGAGGGTTGCATATTTTTTCCGCAGGTACCTCCATAAGTACATTTTAGCAAACATGGATGACTTCCTGGATATCATGCTGCCCCTCCTCCTGCATACCCCCCCTGTGGCTGCAGCTCAGAAGCACAAACAACAAGCATCGGAAGATAAAGCGCAGCAGCCGCACTCAAACCAGCACCAACATCAACCCGAGGGACAGGAACGCCATCCTCAAACACGCAGGGTTCAGGAGCCGCGTCAAAAGAGGAACCCTTCACGGGCGTTCCAGCGGCGGCCCAGCCGTCTGCAGAAGCAGCAGCAACATGTTGAACCAAAGATTTCAAGCAGCTCCCTTTTGACCGCTCAGGCAGTTGCCACGGTATTACGGAGGGCTGCACGAGAAGAGGATGCCTTCTATCATTGTGCCACATCTGTTGTGAAGTACTTTTCACTGTAAGTATCACAATCTGTAGTAACAGATAGGCTTCTAAAACTGTTCGTAGGCTTTGCAGAGTACCCATACGCTCTTGGAGGATTTACATGCTTGCTGGTTGGCTTTTGGATGTAAATGCAAAAACATACTCTGCAACGCTAGTTGCCTGTTTTGCATAGCTCTATTCGAGTTATTCTTTACGGCATTCGCATTGCCTATATTTCTGGCCCATAGTGAGACCTGCACTGATATGTGTTTTCGTGCGCTGACTTTGTCTAACTATAAATCCTCCAGTGCTCTGCTGTGGGGCGCCGCTCTGCAGAGTGCCTGCTCGGTATCTCAAGTTGTTTGCTGCCACGGCGTCTCGCATCTTCTTTGAGGCTATTCGGGGATTGAAGGAAACATTTTCGAGTAGCTTTGAAGGCCTTTCGTGCTTCCTCATTGCCAACGTGCTTATAAGGCAGCGATATACTCTTCCCGGGTCCGGCACAGCCTACGAGCCACCGCCTTTGAATATAGAGCTCTCTGAAGTACAGGCAGAGAACAACGGCAGCACCAGCAATAGCAGCAGTAGCTGCGGCAGCAGCAAGGTGTGCGGTCGGCTAGTCTACTTGGCCCAAGCCGAATCCGTCCGCCTTTACCTGGAGGAGGCACGCCAACATGTAGTTTCGACGGGAAGCCCGTCATCTGTTGCCCTGCAACGCATAGTGCTCCGCTTTCTTGCCGCTGCAGCGCATGCGGCAGTGCGTGAATCGCTGCTGTCAGAGCAAGGGCAGGATGATATTGCAGATCACGAGCAGCGTGACGAATATCCCAACGAGGCATTGTACTTGTTGACCTCTTCAGTATCCCCCTTCTTCACTCTTCATCCTTTTCGTCCATTGTCTTACTTCCCGTATTTCATGGGAGAGGAGGGGCTGCTGCCTTGTCGCGCTGCGACAGAGGAACCATGCGGTCGCCGATGTATCCCTGCACCCATGCTCCTTGGCTGTTGCATATTGTCGGATGCAGCAGCTTCCTGGTTTGCAGGGAGCCAGAGGAGCTCTGGAAGCTTTGATGACTATATTCAAAGCCTCCTGGAGGCCGTACAGCCGTTGTGTGTAATCTCTTTGGGGACCCCACAGGCGGGTAAAGTTGAACCAGTAGTTGTAGGAGCATCTGATGCACAGCAGCAAGAACCATTGGTGCCGTCATTGTTGCAGCCGCTGCTGAGGACGCCTTGTCGAAAGTCGGAGTGGACAGCATCCGCAGCTGTTGCACTGTTGTTGCCGTGCAGTCTCCTACGGCTCTGTGTGTGTGCCTGGAGGGCTCTCCCGGTCAGCTACACCAATGCAGTGACTTTGAAGGGCAATCCGTTACAGCATCTTCTACAAGCTGTTCTGGTTGTTCAGCGCTACCAGCGGCAGCAGCTAATGCTGAAGCGAGAAACACAGCTGCTAGATGAAGACTTGTGGCGCAGCGCTCTAGTCGAGCGAATGGCAGAAATAACTTGCTGCAGTTTGCAGATGCTTCTGCTCCTCCCTGGCCCCGTGGATGGTTTTGCCTCTCTTTGTCTTAGATATGCAATTGAATTTCTTGCAGGCCAGCCATGGTCACTGCGCAGTGCCGTTGGCGGGGGTCCTGAAGCAGTCCCGATTACGAATTGCGTCTCTTTAATGACAGGGGGGGTCACCATCGAGCCACTTCTTGTAAAGGTCTCTTATTGGAGATGGACAGCAGCGAGTTGTTTGCTTGCGGTGATTATGAAGTCTTTCGGGAGAAAGGGCGTTGCGTTGGGAACAGGCACGACTACAGCAGCCATTCGGCTCTTGCTACCCATTCACCTACACAGTTGTTTGAAAGGGACCTGCCTAGAGCTACAATATCTTGAAGCTTCCTTGGTCGCCTATCTTGAATATATTCGGACATCTGCCGGCAAGCTGGAGGGAGCTGTAGCTCCTGCGAACCTGGAGGAGTCCCTTGTTCGAGCATTTGCGGGGCTTAAGTGGTTATGGGGCCTTCAAAAGATGCTTCTTTACGCAGACGGTGAAGCTGTGGAACCTTCAGCTAGAATAAAGCTCTCAGTTGAGGCCACTGCAGCAGCCGTCCAGCTGCAAACACAACAGCAGAAGCTCCTTTGTCTTATCCTCGAGGCAGCCCAGTTATTATCTCCGAAACAGGAGTGTGCCAAATATCTAGAGGGGTTGATTCTCCTGTTCAGCCGTAGCTTTCTCACGTTCCTCGCCCTGCCTCGACTCATGGTTGGCCACAACGAAAAGGAGGCTCTTTATTGTCCTGGTCCCCCGGATTCGGTAGTACAAAGCTGTGTACGACGCGTAAGAGAAGTAGCCGCTGCATGCACTACTTCAACCAATGCAGTCTCCCCGCTTCACTGTGACTGCGCTGGAGCCTCTGCCACGATGCTGGCGCCCCTTTCGAGTGCGGAAATTGAAGGGGCATGTGGGCATTTAGATGCTGGTACTGGTCCAGTTTGTGGGGACATTTCCTCCAACGAACGGCATTCGCCTTCCACCTTGGCTACTGAAGAACAATGGGTAGAATGTTTGCTGGCTTTCCTGGTGTCCACGCTTACTACGTCGGGAGGATGTCTTTCATCCCGTAGGAGGGACTTCACAAGGCCAAACGCTCTTATCACAAGCCCGGCACTTTTAAAGAGCATTACCCTGTCGTTGAAACTCCTTAGAGCATATGCCCCTATTGAAGGAAGGGTCTCACAGCAGCAGCAATGGCATCAACGTGGCTTCTGTATGTTGGCGGTTAAAGCACTGTTGCCGAATCTATCATCTGGATCGCATAATCTGCGTTTATGGTCTTTGCGCTTTATCCGCGGGTGTGATCCAAAGATGCTTTTGTCATGCGCATGCTGTAGCGCATCTTCATATAGAGCCTGCAGGATGCAGTCAATTGTCTCGACCGCCGAAGAAGCGAACGCCGTTGTGGGAAGCCTTCTAGAACGACTTGAGGCCTTTGAGGAGCTTGAAGTTGATTTAGATACAGAACGCCAAAAGGTACAACTGCTTCACGCGTGTGCTAAGGAGGTGTGCTTCATCCAGGAGAAGATAGTTTCGGCGGAAGCAGCAGCAGCACGGGAAGATCAGGGTCAGCATTGCAGCGGTCTCCTGCTGTTGTTGCACCTCGCATATCGAGTATTGCTTGGAGGCCTTTCCGTCAAGTTCGCGACTGTGTGGCCGGAAGTGGTACTGGCCATCTCCGATTGCCTTGAAGCATTTCACGACTGCGTTCCTCCTAAATCCCAGTCTACCTTAGCTGGCGATGCCTGTGGCTCATCCTCTAGACTGAAGGATCATTCTGTCCCTCCAGAGCACCAGCAAAGGAATTTGGCGCTTTCCTTTATCTGGTCCCTGGTTGTGTCGGAGACACATAGGGCTCTATGGCAACTCCATCAAAAGCAGGAGCAGCCCAGCGACTGTACTCAACGTTGCAGCCAGCAGCAAGGTGCTGTTTCTGGTGCTCTCGGCAGCTGTCAAGAATGCGTTGAGAATGTGTGGCATAGTGCCTGTGTGAAGGAGTCATTTAAAGAGGAGACAACAGCCCTTGAGAGGCATTCGCATCTGCTGCGTATTTTGCAGTTCATTGGCACTCGCTGGGGCAGCTGCGCCTGTCCACGCGTAGGCCAGCAGCAAACGAAGCACAGTCAAGCAGTTGATGTGCAACCCTCGGAGACTACTGAGCCACAGGAAAACTGTCCACAAACAGCAGCAGTATGGAGACGCCACTTTGCGCAAGACGCTCTCCGATTTCTTCTAGTCTACGGATTGCACATTGCGGCGGGGCTAACTCGATCCTCTGATGGCATTGAGCAGACTGAGGAGAGCGAAGTAGAAGGCAGTATGGGTAGCTCTGGCGCAACGGAACAGGTAGAGCCTAGCGGGGGCTTCAGCGCTTGGACCGAGGATACTAATCGGTCGGGATGCACGGCCCTTCATGCTACACAGAGCCTGATCCCACGGGCACAGGACGTCATCCGAGCCATCCTTGTGCACGGAGAATTATACCTTCCTGTCGTTGGACAGCGCTTGTTAGGCCTACATATCGCGGAAGACTACGTGGCGGACGCGCGGACTAAGGAGATTGAAGCCCTTTGGTATAAGTTCTTAGTGGTCTGTGCCCAGCGGCTAATTGGCGTGCGAGACGCCACCCTTCAGATCCTTGTGCTCCGGGTGAGCGTATTGCCGAGGCTGTTGTGCACTGTTTACTCCCGGCACGAGGCCGAGCAAGCATTGGAGAAACATATTGGTCCACTTGGTGTTGTGCTGTCCTGCGCAGACTTTGACGCTGTGTAGAGAGCTGCAGCAAATTTTGAAGCCGTATTTAACGGTACTGGAGCAGTCGATCCAAGACAAGGGCGGGGTGCCGTCCGGTCTACTGCGACTCGTTCTTGGAAAAGATGATGCAGAGAGTCAACTTCTGCAGCCTTCAATGGAGACTAAAGACGATATCGTGTTGCTTCCTGAGCACCGCACATTTATGCTTCCGCTAATCGTGCGCCTTCTTTTAAGCAAGACGCAAGGGAAAATGTAAGCTCGACGTTACAACAACAGAAGTAGTACGGGGCCGCTAATTGTCTATCGTAGCTCTCCTGATAGTTGCCAAATGGGATGTCCTTCAGTCCTCCGCGTTTGTAGCCCACCCAGGATAATGCTCTATTTCATTTGACGCTCTAGTTAGAGGCTTGAATGAGGGCGCACGAGTTGGTTTGCAGTGCACCATTAGTTGTCCTACGATTCGTTGTCTCCTGTGGTACTTAGGGGGCGGGCTTCAGGAGCTGTTATGGCAAGTCGGCGAAGGATCTTTGGTCTGTTGAGCAGCCTCGAGGAAACGGAGATTACATTGATAGTAGCGGTGCTGACATTGCGGTTGATACGACTAACACCACTCCCGACAACTAGCACATCCGGAGGGTTACCACAATGCCCAACTAACCTGAAGCCCCTCGATGGCATGGAAAAGGAACGTGCGTTAGTGGATTTTATTTGTTGGCACAGTCGCAGAGCGCAAACCAGGGGAGCTGCTGGGTCTACTCTAATGCATGAACAAGGGGATCACCGATCAGACCAACTTACAGTAAATCTGGCACTCTCTGACCAAATTCTCCAGCCTGCATCGTGTACCCAGCTACATGGTTTACTCAAGTCTCTCCAGCACCTAGTGCAGATGCAGCGGCTCGTTCTACGACCAGTAGCACCTTATCTGGTGCTTCTTTTCGCGGAAGTATTGCGCCATCTTGTCCCTGTGGAACTGGGAAATAAAAGTACCGGAGAACTGCAGATGGCAGAAGTTGAGGACGAGCACAGCACCCAAGACGTAAAAGTGCCTAAACCTTCTATGATGGGTGAACCTGTCGAAGATCAGCAAAGTTTGGTTTCTGCCGTTGAAGGTGCCGCGGAGGTTGGTAGTAGTGTGCAAGTCACAGGCAGTGCACGTCACAAGAAACATTGCATACGTATAGCAGTAGATGTGTTGCATCAGCTTTTTACATCTTTCCCAGGTTTTGTTGATACCTGGAAGGTGTTGCTGACACCTGTGGGGCCAGCCTTGCAATTGCTTCTTTCTGCGGCGGTGGAGACGGGGGCAGCAGGTCATGCGACGGATGTGAAAGGTCATGACAAAAGTCCTGCGGTTGTTCGCTTTGTAGCTTCGTGGGCATGTCAAGCAGTAAGCTAGAAATTCCTGTTGTTCACCACATTTGCCGACACCCGTCCCTGCACAGGCTCTTGTTGGACGCACTGCTGATCGTTATGTAGCTACAGAAAGTGAACACACAGTGGAGGCTTCTTAGCGAGAGCACCATCGTCAGATAGGTTGAAATGTGCCGCTTGCGTTTCCCTTAGCACCTTGGTACAAACTGACATGGGCACAACTAGAGGATGTGCTCGTGGCCTTCTGAGGATGGTTTTGATACATGTTGCAGTTGTACATGTGTAGATGTGCATTCTTCATCTATTGGTGGTGCCAAACTCTGGGTGCCATCAAAATATCTGTTTGTCTACTTCAGGAATACTTCGTGCTGTATGAACAAGTTCTTCCACAGGCATTGCCCACTCTCTTAGGGGCCATAGGGTCTGCATCCGTGCTGCAGTATCTGCAGCGAAGCAAGCGCAGCACCACACCGTTGCTGGAGGCTGCTGTAGAGACAGCACTCCTGCTGTCCTTCGGTGGCCGCACAAAGGAGCAGCACGAAGAAGAGCTTCGGGTCGCTCGGCGGGAGTTTAATGCAATGAAGCAGGTGAATGAGCGAAAACGGCGGCGCAGAGGCTACCAGTCTTCCTCATCCGAGGAGGAGAGCGACCCAAATGCGAGCGACGCGGAGGGACAGAGTTTTGATGAAGGAGACAAGGAAAAATGCCTCAAGTCATTCAAAGAGGCTCACATGGCCCTGCAACGACAGCAGGAACGTCAGCAGCAGCAGGGCATGTGCGTGCTGCTTCCTCATATTGGCCTTTTGCTGCACTCTCTTGAGCTACTGTTGCGAGCGCGGAGTGGTGCGGCCATTGTGAAACCTCGCAAAGATGTGGATTTAAATGATGAGAGCATTTTCCCAATTGAGGAGGCTGCAGCGCCGTCCCTAGATCAGCCTACACAGGCGTCCCTGAACCGTAGGGAGAGAGCGCTGCTTGTAGGCTTCAAGGAACTGCAACTTCTTACTCGCCTTGCTTCATATGCTAGTGCTGATCAACATTTGTTACCTAAGGTGCATCAGTCAATGGAGCTTCGACCCTTTTGGCCTGAAGAACACGTTCCAACCGCAGCAAAGTTAATTCGTCTATTGCTTCTTTCCTTGCCCTTACGAGTCAGGTCTGGGGGTGCAGCGGCCCGGCAGCAGTTAACGTTATCAGCCATTCAGGGACTCTTACCTGCTGTGGCTCGGTGGCGGCAGGCCCTCGATTTCACCTCGTGCTCTAGCAACCACATGGGCGAGTTGCGCGCATTGCTTCATAGCTTACGCGTTTCATGCTGTGGTCTTCTAGAGAGCGCAGAGGATCTGCAGTGTCGCGCTGCGGCCTCCGAAGTACTCATTGGAACAGAACTTGCTGCATGCGGCTGTGAAGTAAAAATTGAAGACCTTTTAATTCGGATCCGCGGATATGTGCATAGAGAACTGGATGACTCAAGGCGTGCCGAGGAGGAAGAAGACAGCGAGCAGCAAATGTCCTCTCTTTCGTGGCTACTCCCAGGAGGTGCCCTTAATAGTAGCCTTCTCAAGAATGCCCTGCCATCTTTGCTCTTCCAGGATGGCGAACATGACGTCTTTGCCAGTTGCACCGATCTGGCGAGTGCTTGGCGTGTCTCTGTGGCCCTTGTGGTGGTGTGCGCGAATCTCCTCAGAGCAGGGGGCGGTGCAGCTCCAGACGAGCATCGGCCAGACGTTGACATGCAGGTTCTAGTGCTTTTGGCTTTAGTGGAGAAGTACCTGAACCCTCCAGCCCTTGCAGGGTGCCCTCAGCAGGATATCACAGACCGCAAAGTGTGTGATGAACCACAAACTCCTCTAGAAGTGCGCAGCATAGAGGCAAAGCAGGAAGGTGGCGAGCAATTCGAAGTAGCGATAGAAGAAGAGGGAAATGGAGAACCAGCTGCATCTACAGTGGAACTGTTGCAGGGCCCGCCAGCTACGGAGGATCTATCAGGAATAAAACCGCAAAGGCAGGCGAGGCCAGGAATGTACATCCCAGCCTCGGCGCTGGAACCTCTGCTACACCATGTGCTGTATCTTTTGTCCGACTGCTCTGATGACTTAGCACTTCAGCAAGTCGCACTGACCTTCATCCGTAAGGCAGCTGTTGCGCTTGGGGCCGCAGCGTCTGCCGCGGTGACCAGGAGGGCCGCTGCCCAGTTTGCCCCCCAGCTACAACAGGGAGCAGGTAGGGACGAGCAGGAAGAGGATTGGATTTATGCAGTTGGCATGCAGCATCATCTTGCCAGACTCATCGTTCCGCACCTTCGTCTGTTGCTAAGAAGCCTTCGGGAGGATGTCCAGCGGATGGCCCTAAGAGCATTGGATGCTGTTATAAGGACATTAGGGCCGGCAGGTCCCCTGCTGCCTCCCCTACAAGCGTCTAATGTTTCAGAAAATAGAGGTTCCGCGACATTGTTCTTCTCGGAGTCAGACGAGAAGCAAAGGAATATGCGGTTGCATTTGGATCTGTACGCGCTTCTCACTCCAACCAAGGTGACTCCTGCGGTGGAAGAAGCAGTGGCTCGTGCGCAACAGCTGGTGTCCAGTGGAGAGGCTTGTCAAGCTGCAGTGGCTGCAGCTACTGCTGCACGATTAGAGGCCATTGCTGGTGAGCAACAAGCTTCAGAGCGCGAGGAGGGAGGGGACGTTTTGCTCGAGCTGCTGCACATGCAGAAGCACAGGAGAGCACGAGGCCTGCAGCTCCTTTCAAAAGCAGCAGCGGCTCGGCGGCTCTGTCCTAATACGCTGAGGCACATATGCGTGCCAGTAGCCCTCTGGGCGCTTTTACAGGAAAGTGACTTAGGAAGTCTCCCAGGGAAACGCAAAACTTCAAGTGTACCCTCCCGGCATTCCAGAGGACACGCGGAGGCATTCAGCCAACAGATGGCCGAACAGGGAGTGGCCTGTCTGACGAAGTGCTGCAGGCTCCTCCCCCTCAAGTGTTGCACTCACACTCTTACCCAGCTTGTCTCCTTCCTGGTAAAAGTTCCGCAGCGTGAGGCGTTCATACACCGTGCAATTGCATCGACCCTTAGGGCTTTTCCCTTTGGTCTGTCCGATGCTGTGCATGAAACGCTCAGCCAGCCGCATCAGGCAGTTAATCAGGAGCAGGATGGTAGGGGTGCTACTCCTTCAAATTCTGACCCGTTGAAACGGGCAGAATCATCATATCAGGTTCACTTTCGAAAACAGGCAGGTACAGTAGGTATGCCTATTACGGGGGAGGCCGAGGACGAAGAGACAAGCACTGCATATGAAGTCAACGATACCGACGGAGCTACCGGAGTTCAAGTGCCTCATTGTAGTGCAGCGACGAGGTAAGACAGCCTGAATGCTTGGCCGCTGCTCGCTAGCTGGTGAAGCATGTGGCCTTTTATAGTTGTTTGCACTGCTCCCCCGGTTGTACCATTTTCTTGCTTCAGGAAGCAGAAAGTCGCAAGCTGCATTCGAAACGAGCTGATACCACTGCTTTATCGGCTTGCATTCGATAACAAAGTCAGGCGCGTGTCATCGAAAGGGGAGGCCAGTAGGGGCCCTGGTAAGGAGATGGACGGTCACGATGGGAAGACTTACGAGAATCCCGTAGTGCGCACGGAGCTTGTGGCTGTCCTCGCCCTTCTTGCACGGATGCTACCTCCTGACGAGTTCCACTTGCAGCTTCCCCGGCTTGTCCGTACAATTGCCTTCGCTCTTCGGTAAGTGTGTCATAAAGGCCAGTTTCCAATGAACAGTCAGACACTGACTGAGGACAAGAGCATAAGCCGTTGATGCCTGTTTCGCTAGCTGATGTCCGTTTGGCCCATACGTGCAGCCAAGATAGCCGTAGCAATGCTGTCGCGTGATGCCCTCGATGGAACACTTTATTTATCTGTCCCTTCAGCTGTGTGTGTGTGTCGTTCCTACAACAGTTCGCGTGAGCGTAGTGCGAGACGGGAGGCACGCGTGGCTTTGACACATCTTGCAGTCAACCTAGGGAGGCCATACTTTGCTTACCTCGTGACGGAGCTTCTGCGAACGAATGGCCCGAAAAATGAAAAGGATGCAGCAGCAAATCAGCAAGGATTCATACGGCCTGTTCTTCTGTACACGCTGCATGCAATGCTCAATGCACTCGTCCAGGACAAGAGTACAGAACCAGAGATGCTTCCGCCTCTAGCGGATGAAGGCGCGACGACAATCGATGCCCGACATTTTATCCAGCGGTTTGAGGCATCCGTACCGCTTTTGCTTCCTCTTATTTCAGATGTGGGGAACAGTCCCTTTCATTAGAATTGTGCCAGTGCCAGACAGCTGTTTTGCGTGGTTTTTGACAATTCATGGCGAGCAGTTGCCGTATTAGACGCGCAGAGTATGGTGTAATGTCAAGCAAGGGCATGTTGCCGTTGTACCGGGACACTTCGTCCCAATGCACCCGTAAGAGGGTGTTGTTTCTGTTGCTTTTCAGGAGATATGCCGTGTGGCAGACCCCGATTCTCTAGAGCAAGAGGAAAGCCGCCGGCTGCGATCCGTGCAGATAGAGGGAGAGGAAGCAGGTCCTGTTGACACATCCATAGTAACGCCGGACGACGGCAGCAAGCGTTCGAGGATAGAAGAGGCCCAGACACTGAAGGGGCCCCCAACGATGCTCCTGTTGGCAAAGGAGAGTAGCGCAGAATGTCTTGGCACACACTTGCTTCCATTTTTACTTGGCCTCCTCACAGGCTCTTCCTGCAGGGGCGAGGGATGGAATCGAGGCGCGGCCTTCTCGAACAAGTATGTCAACCGCGCGGAAGATTTGCTTTTGCATTTTGTTTTCGGCTTGAGCCGAAACAAATATATATCTCCGGAATGCAAGCTACGAACAACGAAGAAACTACTCATCCTCACAGTTGCGACCCTGCAGTTCCCCCTACTACACCCTATTCTGCAGGCCGAGCGCAGTCTAGACGAATCCTTGTATTTGCTCGCGTGGCAGCACTTGCTGCTGCTTGAGCGCAAGAAGAATGCAAAAGCTCTTCACAGGACCTACACGTCCAGGCAGTCGCCTGGGGAATTGAAGGAGTCTGAAAGCGCGGCTACATCTGCAAGGGTAGAGGAAGCCAACGACGAGCAAACTACGGCGCCACCCTCCTTGTCGTCAGTCCACCAGGAGGATCTCTGCGCGCTGCGGCGTTTGTTGCTGCCAGAAAGGGAAGGAGAAGATATTGACCTCCTTGTTCAGCGTGATACAGTAGCAGGACTTACGTCCTATCATCGAGGAGACTTGGCTTCTCAACACAGCAGGAAGTTACTGGTGTCTTTGATTCAAACTAGGATGGAACGCAGAGTCACCTTACAGCCTGGAGCAGTTACAGGACGTTCACTCGCGCAGGCCACACGCAACAAAACGGCTCCAGGCGGCGGGGGGCTCGACCTCTCCACGCGAGCTGCGGTGCTAGGAACAGCAGCCTTGCGTCTTCTTCATCTCACACTTCGAGCGGTTAAAATACCACTAAGGAAGTACAGGGAGAGACAGCTTGGGACGGCTCCACTACGCGACGCGGCCCATACTAATGCAACAGGAATGGACGATGGGGCTCTGCAGCGGTGTGTAAATGAACTCGATGAGCTTGCATTGGAGGTAGTTTGCTGCTTCAGTTGCAAGGTAACGAAGCTAGTCTCATGGGGGGCCCGTTGCTTATTGGAGCTATTGGCGTTGCGTTTACCTCGTCTTGACAATCGTGGAGCCCTCGTGGCGTATTTGACAATGCGGGTCTTTCACTCCTGCGGCAATGGCACCAGCGTATTGGGGGCTCATTGCTACACTGCTCGCTCTGAGCTGCTCCCAGTCTCTACCAAGCTCCTAGCTGTCCTTCTGCTGCAGCCGCAGGCTGCAAAGTGGATGGACACTGCATTGAATCCGTCACAGCACATTGGTGGGGACATTCTTAGGTCCCTCTTGCGCGAGCAGCTGCGCATATTACCTTGGAGATACCAAACCCGGCAGCAGCGTGGCTGGCAGGATCGAAATGGCGCAGCTGTTTCAGGGGCATCTAAAGCAGATTCAGGATTTAGTGTAAGTCTAGCTGTGACGGAAGAACAGATACAGGCCGCTGGTCAGTTCTTCCTAAAGGAAGCGCTCCTGGCGCATATTTCTTCGTCTTTGGAGGACAACCATCTGCAGCTTTGTGCTCTCTTCCTTCTTAAAAGGGTGGTATTGCAGCACTACAAGGACCTTGCAGGTAGTGCTGCACGCCGCGCCATTGAGGAGTCTCAGCAGACTGCAGGTACAATGGATTCAAAGGCCTTGCAGCGCCATGCACAGAAAAAGCGCCGCAGGGACGCTAAAGAGGTAGAGAATGGGCCTACTCCGGGAGAGCAACACTCTACAGCAGCGGTAGAGCTGCTTCCATTGGTTTACGAGTGTGTTGACCGCGTAGCCCGGGTCATGGTGCAACATGCTACAGCTTCAGCTCTCAGTCGAAAACTCTCAAACATCTGCGCTGATGTTTACGTCTCATTTCTTCTTAACTTCCCCATGACGCCGAAGCTCCAGCAGAGGCGCGTTTTCTTTTTATTCCAGCAGCAAAAGTTTTCGGACGTCTACGGCAGAAGAGCGGCCATCTGGGCGCTTCTTAAAGTAGTGGTGAGCTGAGGCTCTGTGACAGCAACATTTACAAACAAAGGAAGATGCGGATCTTTCCTTTGTACAAAATATCACTAGCTGTCATGAGGGCTGATAATATAGGCTGGCATCTACAAATTTTTTGCCGCATTTCCACTAACTGCGTATTTGTTGTGCACGTGCGTCTGAGCAGCTGCGCTTCCCGGCGGAGCTCTTCCTAGAACGCTATGCCCAAGTTGCGTTGTTGACGTGCTGCTCAACCCTGGCCACAGAAACAGACCACGAGGTCTATGCGATGCTGCAGCAGGTCGTCGGCGAAGTGTTGAAACTCACTGAGGTAGAAGAAGATCGCATATCAAGCCTCCTTGGTATCCTCCAGACCACATCAAAGTATGGCACACAGAACTGCTCACCAATAAACGCTAGTGTTGCAGCTGGACGTGCGCTTGAGTGCTGCTGGTATAGCCATGATGTCGTGAACTGTCATTTTTCCCTTTGAACTTGAACCTTGCGTAACTGCCAGTTTCCTGAAACCTCATGTATTTTGACGATGAGACCCTATGGCGTCTCCTCTTCAATCCTGTGATGAAACTTGTGCGTAGGGTTTTCTTGCTCCCACGGACACAGCATTTGATGGCTCTTCTCGAATTTTTGAGTGTATTTCTCTCACACGTGTCTAGAGGCGTCCCGCAAAATGCCCTGGCCTCCTTCCTTCCAACAGTTCTTGAGCTCCTGTCTGGTATATCCTTTTTGATATCTGGACGGCAACCCCTACAGTTTCCTGACGTGTCGGAAGACTGGCGCTTGCTCTACAAGACTCTTTTGGTGGTTGAAAAGATTATGGCTGCTTCTGGGCTCCCCTTAATGGAAGAATCGTTTGCACAGGCTGCAAAGATTTGGCAGAGCTCTGGGTGCGAGAAACTACGTGCACTTGCAACGGCACTAAGTGTTGATGCCGAGGAGGCAGAGATTAAGGCGCTACAAAGGCAGAATTTAGAGGCCTTCATTGCTACACTGGACCTATGGGATCCCCCTACGGAAAATCCGAAAAAGCGGCGTACCAGCCCCGATACTACCCTCCAGATGTCACCGCAGCAGCAACAGCAAGTCGTTACCGGGCTGTACGCAGCACATATTTGGACGGAACTTTCGGGATCTGCTTTACGTCATCAAAATGCATGGGTGCGGTGCTCGGCTTTGCGAGCCGTTGGCCAGTATTTGCAGCAGACTCCACTTACTTCTGGGCGGCAAACCGGAATGCCGATATTGGCATTACTTGCCGTTCGTAGGTGTCCCGAGGATAAACCTGTTTCGGCAGCTCATTCCTCCCCTCTCACACAGTTGGGATTGACTCTTGGGCAGCATTTTGGGAAAGATTGCATGCTTGAGAGACACCCCCGTGCAGGACCGTATGCTGTAGCCGCTCTCATCGCATGGGCCCAACTTGCCTTTACCGTACCACAGCTCATGCCTGTCACCCGAAAACCCCGCACCGAAATTCGGCTCAAGTTTCGAGTGCACGAAAACAAAACTTTTGGTCAGCGCATGCAGGAGTCTCTGGCGAAGGATGAATCGGGGGAGCGGGACACATTGCTCCTCAAAGAAGCAGACGAGCACCAACTTGGCGAGGTCAGCGACAGTAACCCGGGTGAAGCCACTGCTTACTGCAGTGCTGTAGCTAGTGACCCACTAGGCTCTTGTCATGATTCTACTGAGCAAACTGATTCAAATACGGTTTTCGATGAGGATGCAGAAGTACAGCCCGTTACCGAGGCTGCAGGAGCAACTGCACTCGTTGGCGTAATAGAATCAAAGAACTCTTCTAAAGACAGCGCACCAGATGGGGATGCAGATGAAGACAACTCTTCATCTGGCATTAACGAAGAGGATATTGAGGAAGAGGTGGAAGCCAACGAGGTGGAAAAGTGGGTGATGGACGAATTGCAGCTCGAAGCGTCACAGGACTGCTCCAAAACATCTGCAGCAGGAGCAGGCGCTAGATCACCCTCCTTGCGGAAATTGCCGTGGAATGTATCATTTTCTGAACGGGAAGAGACAGATAAGACTAATGCTTCCTCGTTGGTGGCAAAGCTGCATCCCTTGGTGTTTCTTGTTGCAGGACTGAGTCGGTGGCTGCGCGTACACCTGAGCCGCCTCGGTTATAGCGGCGGCAGGATAAAGGAGACGGACGCTGCTCCAGGAACCGTTGTGCGCGTTGCGGGAATCCTGACGTTTTTTGGCACTCTATTGAAACTGCTGCCCCTCGCAAAGCTCCAGAACGCCTCCGAAGGACCAAAACCAGCGTCGCAGTTAAGCGTTGTTCTCCACGAGGTTCTGCGCCACATTGCCGATGCAGCATATCGCTGTTCAACGCTTCAGACTGAAATGGCAGCAGAATCCGTGTTGGCCCAGCTTCTAGATGACGAGGCGTTGTTTAAGGGGGACACGGGAAAACAGCTAATTGGGGACCCTTCATCAAAGGGGGATAGCCCGAGTCTTTGGGACTCTCTCCGTGGTCTCACCCCCGTTAAGCAGCTTATTGAAGTTGCCACAGGAGGCGCGGCAGTGCTTCGCCGGATGGAGCAGCTTCTAAGAAGCAACGGCCATGAGGAGACGTACCGTCTATTGCTTGCAAAGACTCGCCAATGCGTCTCAGCAAAGCGAGCAATGCGCAAGCTGAAGGTGCAGCAAACTTTTTTGCAGAATCCTCAGGCTCACGCTCAGCGGAAGCGCAGACGGAACCAAGCCAAAGTCAATCAAAAGAAGACCAAGTTAAGGGACGCTATCCTTAGGCGCAAAGGGTTTGTCAAGCGGAAAGTGCGGGCAGAGTAATGCTTGTGCAGCTAATCTGTTGATGTGTTAATGAGCAAAGTTTTGTTCCTATGATATGCAAATGATATATTGGATGGGGAACCGAGTTGGTGGAAGATGACTGCTGGCTTATCATCACATTCCTTTTACCATAGCTTCCCAGAGGTATTGAGCCCCTGTTGCAGCACGCCACTGCGGCTTAGCCTTCGTGGCTCATTGCTTCTATTCGCAGTTGAATTTCCGTTGACGAAAGATCCTAGTTCTTGCCGCAACGCTTTTGCGAATTGATGGAATTGTGAGAACGTGCGCGTTTAATTCACCTGCCTAGATGGCGCTGGCCACGTCTAACGTTGAAGCGCTTACGCGCTGTTCCTTTGTAGCGTCAGGTGCTGAGGAATATTGTACCCGGCAGTGTACAGTTGCCCCAAGTTGTGCGATAAAGGGAAACCTAAAAGAAGCTCGTTTTGCCAGTTTTCACGGCAATCCCTCTATAAGGGAAACCCGAGTGAACGCCAGCATATTGCAAAGCGCCTGGGCAACCGTAAAGCGATATCCCCCAAACAAGGACAGATGCATAGCGCAAGCGACACAGGCCTTTCCCTGTGGTCCCCGCGGGTGCCGCTACTGCAGGATCAAGCCAGCCGCTTGAGACTGCGTTAATATGCAGTGCGCCTATTTCTGTCACAAAAACCGATTGCATGCTATTCAATATATACACATATCCATATATATACATATATATATCACACACACGTATGTATGCCCATATACACGTCGATACGTGCTCAGGTGATGTATTTACAGATAAATATATGTGCACGCGTAGGTATACGTACATGTACGCATAGGTGTATAATATATATATATGTACATATTTTGCTCTAGGGCGCTTCCTGCATATATGTAGGCATCCACCTTGTTAAAATACATCCTTCAGTGCGGAGATATATACATACACAAGTATATACACATAAACGTGTGATGCGGGACTGTATACGTGCATGTATATAGATATATATATATATATAAACAAGGCGTGTCTACGCTACAGTTCCGGCCTCGCAGCGCGCTTAAACATTGGGAGTATCTGCTCGTCGTCATCCTCTGCTTCTTCCTTGAGCGTTTTAATGAAGTATCTCCACGTCAACTGCTGCACGTAACCCCGTACTGCGAGCTCCCTGCGCTTGTCCACTACCAAGTCTGGTGGAATCACTCTAAAGGGGATGACTCTTCTGCCGCGTCTCCCAGCAGCCGGTGGAGCTTCTTCGGGGGCAGGCACCATCGAACTACTAAGGCGTCCAATGCTGATGTCGAGCTGAGAGCCTGGCTCACAAGGAGCCCACTCTCCGCAGTCCACGGCCAGTGGTTCCTTCTTCTTGACTGATCCATTCTCTCCCTCTTGCGGCTGCTGAGCGCTCCCTGTGCTCCCCAACTGACTGCCACTGAGGCTTTCAGAATGCAGCTGTGCATGCGGAGACAGGCTCTGCGTCGGCCCCGCATCGGTCCGAGGCTGCTGCGATGGTGTGGAGCAGAGACTGCTGCTGCCTTCCGGCGGGGGTAACAGTCCATGATGGGGATGCATTGCGATCCCCCCTCCCTGCAAAGCATGCAAGTCCGCGTGCCGCTGTTGCTGTTGGTCCTGCAGCTGATGGTGGAGCTGCTGTTGCAGCTGGAGCTGCTGCTGCTGCAGCTGGCGCTGTTGCTGCTGGAGCTGCTGGTGCTGCAGTTGATGCTGCTCATGGTGCTGCTGAAAAGCCGCTAACTGCTGCTCAGCCGGGGAGTCGAGCATGCGTTGCTCTCGAAGCAGCAACTGAATATGCAATAGCTCCTGTTGCTGCTTGAGTTCTTGTTGCTGGGCCTCAGAAGACTGAAGCGCTCGTTGCTGGAGAGCCGGAGCACCAAACCCCTGTACACCGAATTGATGGAGCATAGCAGGAGGTTCAGAACTAGCCAGTTGCGCATGCTGCTGCTGCTGCTGCTGCTGCTGCAATGCATCAGCCGCAACAGCAGGAGGAGCAATGGCAGAGGCAGGGGAAGGAGGCTCAGGCTCAGGCTCAGGCTCTTGATCTGCCTCGTCATTATAGCTAACAGAATAGTAGTCGATGCCTATGTGCGCCTTCCGTTCAAAAGCTACAAGGTCAGACATCGAAGGAACGGACAGCAACAAAGAATCCTCCTGGATCTCCTGGATTAGGGGCTTTTGCACTGGTGCTGATGCAACAACTGCTTCTGTCACACGCTTTTTCAAGTCACCAGCACTTCTGCAGCCAGCCCGTGGTCTACCCCGTTTCCGTGGAGCTAGCTCATCAGCACCTGGAGAAGGGCACTTCACCGCAACGCCATCGACAACAGCAGCAACCTCTGCCGCTGCTACCGCAGCTGCTCTCGTCAATGGGGCCTCGGGAAACATTGACACTGTACTTCCATCTTCCGACTTCACGCTCCCCGCCGCAGCACTGCTGCTGCTTGCTTGCTGATACTGTTGAGAAGTGTCTGTGTTGGTCTGTAGCATCAGGATATCCAAGCAGTGCTGATACACAAGGCGAAGAGTCGGAAGGGGGAGCCTCGACAGAACAATCCTCTGAGCGCAGTTGCACGAAAGGCTGCCCACGCAATCCATGCAAACGTAGTCCTCCTGATGGCAACAGGTGACGCATGTGATGACACAGCAAGCCTTGCAGCTGCTGCAATCCTTCACCGGCAAAGACAGCACATCAGCGATGCGAGCCAGCAAATCGTCTTTTCGTCCTTCGCCGTCACCAAAAGGAATAGGCACGAGCAAATCGCCAAACGTAGAGAGCAACTTTCTGAACTCCTGCCTCCAGCCCTTGACACTCGGGTCCAGAGCCTCGACCAAATTCAGCTGCCCTGCAGCCAACTGCATGGGCGCTGCAGCTAGCTGCTGCTCCACGGCAGCTGTACGTCCAGCAAACTCCTCCATAATGATACGCGCGACTGCCCTGCAAAGCTCGAGCTGCTGCCGCGGAGAGAATCCCTCAGCGGACTGAATGGCAGACCGCAACACCAGCTGCTGGTATGGCACACAGGTGGAACGCATATACCGGTAACTGCGGATCGCCTTCTGGCCCCATTGCAGCCACAACGGAGGAGCGAAGTTGCAGGCTTCATTGCAGTTAAAGCTGAACGCCCACACGAAAAACACGGAATGCACATGAGCACCTTTGGGATAAAAGCACAACCATGTGCAGCGTTCGAAGGACGATGCGCCAGAAGGCGGGAGGAAAATGGAAGGGTTAGACAAATAAATGGGGTATCTATCGCAAAATGAAAGGGTTAGACATAGAAATGGGGTATCTATCGCAAAATGAAAGGGTTAGACAAATACACAGGGTATCTATCGCAAAATGAAAGGGGTAGACATAGAAATGGGGTATCTATCGCAAAATGAAAGGGTTAGACATAGAAATGGGGTATCTATCGCAAAATGAAAGGGTTAGACAAATAAATGGGGTATCTATCGCAAAATGAAAGGGGTAGACATAGAAATGGGGTATCTACCGCGTTGCTCCTCAAGGCTGCTACAAAGGGAGGAGGGCATGCATGATTTATTTAAGCTGTGCCTGAGCGGGTGGAGAGGAACGCGAGTAATTACCCAGCGTTGAATCCGGCATGGTACGTGCGGGGCCACAGCATGACGAACTCTTTGGGATGCTGCTCGATCCGGTAGACTGGAATACCGTTTTCAACAAAGAGGGAGGGGGGCAGCTGCACCGTGAGGGAGTGCAATACGTAATGAGGATCGCGGTCTGCCAGATACGATTGCAGCGTCCGTTCAACAGACGGTGCCCTCGAAGGAGGTACCACGTACCATATCTGCAGCAGCAGGAGAAGCGTGGCATGCAAACAGCTCGTTCTATCTTTTTCAAGGGAACGAGGTAGACTGCCATGCGGAGTCAACGAGACGCTCTGCGGTAGCGTCACCTAGGAGGGGGAACCTACGCTAGGAGCCCGATCCCTCGCTCTTGCCTCCCCCGTTAGCACCCCGCTCAGGCTGGAGTTACAAGCATTCCCAAGCCAAGATCCGGGTGCTTCTTATTAGCGCCGGATCGATACACCCCACACAGTAAACGCAAGGGCAGCCCTTACGGGCACAAAGAGGACTCAGCAACTACCAGCTAACGCACCTTCGGGGTCCCCCAGTGGTGGTAGTTACATGCAGCAAAGAAATTGTCTTCTGTGTGCCAGCAGAAACTTGAAAATACAGTCCCAACGTACAGCCAGGGGGAAGTGACCCCAGGAACGTCTCGATGGTAATGCCGCAACAAGGAGCCTTGCACCCTTGCTAATCCCGCCATATTCCACGGATGCGTGCAGTAGTCCAACTGCTGCTGCTGCCCCTTAGTCGAACCGTCCTGCGCCTGCTGTGGCAGCGGCTGGCTTTGCCTCTCTTGAGGACTCCCTCCGACACTGGCCTCGGTGCTGCTGCTATTGCTGTTGCTGCAAGGCGCTGCGGCGTCTCCCGCGACGCGTGCCACTGGAAATCCGCTACCCAGTTCGTTCGTCCTCAAGTCTGCAGCGTAGTGGACAGTTAGCTGGGGGCAGCCGCTCTCAACGCTCTTCCAGTATACAGCCTCCACCGTATCTATGCTTGGGTTGTAGCAGCCGAAGACCTGTCGCGTCAACTCGCGGTCGTGAGAACGAAGCTCTGAGGCATGCACGGGAGCCTCTGGATGCTGGAACGGCTGCAGAGGAACCACACGACGGGCAGGAGACAGCCACATGAGGTGTTATCAGCCGACGCGCTATACACGGATTGTTCAAAGTCGAGGCAAACCGTGGGCTCCTGTCGCAAAGAGATCCTCCTGCCTCTCGCTGGCCCCTCGGCACCTCCAAGGAACCCGTCTTCGATACACGTCAAGAACAAAGAAGTAAGCCGAAGGATTCAGACCCCTACCTTGCCAGCCATGAGCGAATGCACTTCCTGCGTTCGAACGTGGAAAAGCGCCTGGTCATTCGTTAGGGCGTCAAGAGCAAAGGGAGGATCCCAGTCAGCTGGAGGGATGATCTTCACTGCACCGAATTCGCGACCAATAGCTCGAAGACTCTCAAAAAAGGAAATGGGATTGACTGTAAATGCCTCCAGCGAAGGAAAGCGAACCTCCGGCACCGCAGGCAAGGAAGAATAGTTCATCTCCACACGGCGCGTCTCCTGAAAGGTACATGGGATACAGCGACACAACGCACACCCAACGAGGCCCCTATGATTGCACGACGCAAAAATCCAGATTCCCTATGCAGCCAGCCACAAAGGGTCTTTTCATAAAAATCCACGAGCTGGAACGAACACGAAAGACCAAGAGACGCCACAGGGCCATAGAGCCATGTCACCACAAAATGCGCAGAAACAGCGAGAACGCACACTCGGAAAAAGGCGCGATACAGAAACACAACCCACCTACCCACCCCCTTCCCCTCCCCCTCCCTCAATGGCTGGAAGGCCGTCATGGGCAGCAGCTGGGCAGCAGCAGCCGTGAGAGCAGCGTCCCTCACCAGCAGAGATCTCCCAATCGCAACTTTGAGGAGTTTATCATCCGCAGCAGCGTCGACTTCGAACATCCGAGGGGCCCTTCGAGCCCTTTGAGGCCTCTCTCCCGACGGCGACGTTCCTGCTGCTACTGCCGCTGCAACCCCACGACCTCGTCTGGTTCCGCGAGAACCACCACGCCCTCCACGGGGGGTAGCAGCCTTTGCAGCAGCAGGGACTGGAGACGCAGAGGAGCCGACAGCTCGCATCGGAGCAGCAGCTGGAGGCACTGCCGATGCAGAGGCTACTGCTGCCGAAGCAACACGGGCTATCATAGTTGCACTGGAGGGGGGGGCGCCGCCAAAAGCCGCTGAGGGGGCGAGAGCAGGTGCGTGCGAAGCCGCAGGTGGCACACAGGCCGCCGCTGCTGCAAAAGCAGCTCCAACCGCTGGGGGGGGAGACATGCAAGAAGGGCCTGGGGCAGACGGCGGGATAACAGCTGCTGTGTGAAGCGGTGCCCGTACTGCAGGAACTCCTCGAGCTGTTGGAGGGAGGGCTGGTAGGGGGGCAGAAGGCTGAAGGGCGCCGCATTGCACGGGTGCAACTGGAGGCGCCACAACTGCCCCAGCAGTCGGCTGCCCGACTCCAGCAACTGACAAAGGCCTCCCCGTCGCTGCAGACAGTGGCGCTGCTGCAGACATTGCTGCCGCAGAATTTGACGCTGCAGGCACTGCTTGGAATGGCGGTGCTGCTGCAGGGGTCAACACTGGGAAAGGCAAGAGGCCCCTGCCATACATATGGGAGGAAGCAGCAGCGTGAGACGAGAACGCACCGGCCGACACTGGTAGCGTTGCTGCTTCAGCTGGCGTTCCGCCTGCTGCCAAAGGCCTCTGTGCCCCTGAAGCCGTACGCCGATCCATCAAGCTGCTCATGCCGTTAAAAGGGGGAGCTTCCGCTGGCTGGAGTAACGACAAGGGGAGAAGAGCCCCCCCCCGTATTTCGGCCTTCCTCTAACAGTTCAATACCAGTGATTCGACCCACTCAGTGGAACTACTTTCTACGCTGGGGGGCTGAAGAGAGAGCATGGGAGCCCCCGCAGGCAGCTCAAGGTCCAGCAAGGGGGCAAAGAAGCTATCAGAGGAAACGAAGGGTGCAGAAGCAGCCGACTCTGAGGGGCCGAAACAAAAAACAAGGAAAAACCTACGCTGTTGATGGAACGCAGCACGAGCGTACCAACTGCTTGTCCAAGCCCATAGTGTGGAAAGGAGAGACCCCGGGGACAGACGACCACCGTTTTTCTTAGTTTAGACGGAAAATAATGTAAATGGAGGGCCAGGTGGATTAAGTATGCGTTGAACTAGTATCAAAGGCGACACTATGTGGGGCATGCAATCCACCCGAGGCGGCGCGAACAGCTAACGGTTGCTATTGTTCCACAGTCACTCACGTAAGAGGATAGGCAATGCACTACTTCCCCTTATCCATGGATGGAGAATACTTCGCAAGACTACCAACAACTCCAATACCAACTCAGCAAAGGAGGCCCCAGCCGTGTTGCGAGTAGGGGCCCTCTGGCGCTGGAGGCTGCCGCCCCAAGAGGCGTAGTCTTCAACGGTATATCCAAACAAACAGCCCGTCCAATCCTGTATAGCACCTCTGGTATGAACTGTAATGTAGGGGAAAGAAACTGCACGTGGGGACAGCCAATTCCGTGGGAACATCAGCTGTTGCGAAGTGGTGTTACATCCCGGCGCTTGCTCAGCGAACACCCGCAGCTACAGCAGAGAATGCGACAGCAGCAATTACTCTCCGCTTGGGAGCTTTTTGTTAGGTATCAAAGTAAAACGATCCAAAACAAAGAGTGAAGTGATCTTAATACCTCATGCGGCAAGGCTGCATTGCCTCCCTGCTGTACGCGTGCGGCAAGCGGCTTTGCTGCCTAGGGGAGATTAACAATCAGCAGGAGTTCTTTCAACAACTGGCGTAATCATTAGAATGTATAAAAGTTTCCTTTTTATTTGTATTAGCAATTTTATCATACTTTTTTCTCCAGAAGCATAGCGAAGAATCGCCCGTGCGGGGCGCGTCGGGCGCCGCAGCCACCGATGTTCGAGACAGGTGAGTGCCACACCAGCTAAAGGCCCCCATTGCAATGGAGAATCACGGGCTTTTTCCGTTTTTACCATTAAATTAAAGAATATAAACGTGCTTCTGGCAGTAATAAGTACCGTACGGGTGTTCTCTTGGCACCCGCGGTGGTGGTATGATGCGTCAGCAAGCCTGCAAGTCCTGGGGTACTGCTGGAGTATATATTCCTCAGTAGATCATGAATGGTTGTTTTATCATAGTGGTCTCACCTAAAAACGTCTACTCCCGGAAGTAACTGACATTTCCTATGTCCTCGTGAAAAAGCTCGGGGGCGCGGCTGCTGTAGGGGCCGGCCAGGCCGACGAGAGGTCCTCTTTAGCAGAGATATATCATCCTTATACGCATAAAACGTGAGTACATACCTCTTGCGTAGCCTTTATATGCATGCAGGATGAAAACACAGACTTTTCGGGAGGTGGTATCCGTAGCTAACCGCAAAGTGATGGACGAACGTGGCTCTTTCGCTCCATGTAAGGTGCTTGAAAGCAGGCACTTCGCACCAAACCCAACAGAAAGCATATTTTTATGAAAACTTATGTGTACTAGGGAAAAATGGTTGTTTCTTGCCCTGGCTTCTCGAGGTCTCAACGTATGCGGAGAGCGGACGCCAGGGTAAGTGTTGCTACCATTCTAAAGCACTCCAAGGAGTAACAGCCCCATAAAAAAAGCGCACACTCACACGCACACACACAGGATACTGCGTCTCCTGGTTCGGATTCGAATATTAGCCTGCAAGAAGTGATGAATGCGAACTGGCATGACTTTCTCAGTTCACTACTGATCCTTGTTTCGATATGCGCAGTGTAGTAGGGAGTTCCAGAGTATACCTTGTAGTGTGTTCAAAAATGACAAGATCGTGCTTCGTGCCTGTCGGTCCAGACCAGTGGAATTGCAGGGCAGCGGGACGTTTCCAGCCTTGTCGTCACCAGTTAGGTGTAGCGGGCTATGCTACACTTGAACATAATCTACACTTGCTACCTTCTACTAGGAACCCGTAAAGAAGTGGATTACAGGTTTGTCTGTTTATATACCTTATGTTTTACGGAGCAGTTTTAGTAATCATGTAAGAAGGGGTACAAAATGCGTGCATATGTGCCCGACACTATGTGCAATTAGCTGTGAAACCTCAAATCGCTTAGATGAAACATCTACGCGCACCCCAGCTGTTTCCTCTTCATATGTCAGCAACTATGAGAAACTCCTCAACGAAAGCAAAGATCCAATTGGGAAAAAGTCCAATGAGAGCGTTATTGGTATAAAATAATTAATCTTCGTGCAGGCCTGGCCACTTGCTACAGGCCTTCATGCAAATCATGACTCCTATGTCTATACCGAAGTCAGCCTAATAGCAAGCTATGGGATAACCCAG